GCACACCACCATCATTGCCTGGAACGAAGGGGGAGGTGGGGGATGGTCAACGGGATGAAGCGTCGGGAGAAGGATTAGGAACGGTGCGGTTTCTTCCCCCTAACTCTCGCCCTGTCAATGACGTCTCCTCTGGTCGTCTCTGCTATCATATGATTGCACACCATCATCATCGCCTGGAAAAGGGCAGGTGGGAGGGGGGCAGGACTCAGGAGGGTGGGAGGGCGGAGGGCAGGAGAGGAAGGGATGGGAAGAGAAATGAGGATGATGGATGAAAAGGTCCCGTTAATGGGATGGGAGAGACAAGCCAATTGATGCTGTCTCGTGCCATCTGCATTAATGCAAGCCCAGGACCCGCAAGCAGCACGAAACCAGCCAGACCCACCTTCATCCTATGACGCACTTACGGTGATTCTGCACCTTCATCATCCCTCTGCACCGTTCAGAACCCCTCTACACCTTCTCGAACGATAACCACCCGCTCCCTGAACCATCCAGAACCCCTCTGTACCTTCCAGAACTCCTGGTGCATGGGGTTGTTGCGGTCAAACTCGAGGTGCATCTTGATGTCCTCCTTCAGCTCCTCCATCTCCTTCACCGTCAGGCCCTGCAAGTGAGTACAGGCAAGATGCACTCACAATGGACACATGAAGGACAAGAAGCAATCTGACGACAACGGACAACCAACCAACCACACAGGAGACAAGCTCGCCACCTGCAAAAGTCACAACATGACGACGCATGCACAGAGACAGAACTCACCTTGAAGATCTTGTATGGCTCGTTGACCTCGATGTCAAAGTCCCCTGAGAGGGTCAGGCTATCAATAGACTAGAAAGAACGACCACCCCCTCCCAACGCCTTAATCTTTTGCATTCCCCAAACCCAGACGACTTACCTCGAAGATCTTGTACGGCTCGTTGACTTCGATGTCAAAGTCCCCTGAGAGCTTAAGGTGACGTTCCTCGCCAGCACGTCAATGGGCTTTTAAGTTGACAAACAGTTCCCTTGACATTGCGCATTCCCTAGACTTTAACCCCACCTTGAAGATCTTGTACGGCTCGTTGACTTCGATGTCAAAGTCGCCAGACAGCGTGAGGTTCCTCGCCAGCACGTCAACTCAGAAATATCCTTGGCCTTTGGTATCCATCCACCCCACACACAGACACCCCAACCAACCCACCTTGAAGATCTTGTACGGCTCATTGACCTCAATATCAAAGTCCCCAGACAGCGTGAGGTTCCTCGCCAGCACGTCGATGGGCTTTGCCCGCCCCTCCCTCAGACGAATCTCAGAACGCACTCGGCTTTGCTCAAAGTGGAACTGAGAGGGGTGAGAGGCGGTGAGAGGGGGTGAGAAGCGGTGAGAGTGGGTGATAAGGGGTGCAACAGGGTGAAAACGGGTGACAGGGCTTTCAAGACAGTCCCCATAGTCCTCGCCAGCACATCGATGGGCTTTGCTCGCCCCTCCCTCAGGCGGATCTCCGAGCGCACTCGGCTTTGCTCAAAGCGGAACTGAGAGGGGTGAGAGGGGGTGAAAACAGGTGAAAAAGGGTAAGAGAGGTTGACGAGCGGTGAGAAGGGGTGGGAGGCGATGGGAGAGGGTGAGAGAGGGTGAGAACTGGTGCAGTTATAAAGGAGTGGCAGGTGACAAGGCGGAAGGAAACAGGGAGAGGGGAGAGACGTGATACTAGCCTGATGAGCGAAATGGGGCAGGGAAGTAGGGGAGGGGTTGTGTGAGGTGATTTTTGAGGCGTATGTTTTTTGAGAATTCTCAAAAAACATACGCTGATTTTTAAGGCGCCTCAAAAGAAGGAAGGAGAAAGGGGGGAGACGTGATCCTAGCCTGACTTGGAACTGAGCGAAAGGGGGCAGGGGGGGAAAGGAAAGGTTGTATGGGGTGGGTTCCTTGCTAGCACGTTGAGAGGCATGACTATTGAGCGACCGAGTGTACTGTACCAGGAGAGTAACTCATAGTGCATGAAGGACTGAGAATGTGTGTGCGCGCGCGCATGCATGTGCTGTGTGTGTTTAAGTGCGTGTGTGAGTGTGTGAGCGAGTGAGTGTGAGGGTGTGAGTGAGTGAGTGAGACGCAGTACCTCGTCTTCCTTCTCTTCCCAGTCCTGGAACTCGGCTCGAGCCCTCTCACGCGCCAGCATGGCCTGCAGCAGCAACGCACACGCACACATGCACGTGCACATGCACGGGCATACAGGCACAGACACACAGGCAAAGACAATCCGGCAGAGACAGACAGTCACAGCCACACACGCACGAGATGAAAAAAAGAAAAAGAAAAAAGGAGTGTGGTTCAGTCGTGGAAGAGAAGTTTTGATACCTCTCAAAAATGAAAGGGAAAAACAGATAAAAAGGCCTGGCTCATTAATAAGAAAGCATGCACACACAATGAGCCAGCATCTCTCCCCACCACTCACCATCTCTCCCCACCACTCACCATCTCCTCGTCGTGCTGTGCCTTCTCCAGCATCCTCTCCTCGCGCCGCTTCTTCACCTTCTCAATCTCCTCCTGCTCTCACACACACGGGCAGACATGACAATGTAGGCAGGGGGCAGGCAGTGCGGGTGGGGCAGGCAGTGCGGGTGGGCAAGAAATCAGATGAGGAGTGAGCACAGGTGAGATCTTAAAGATGGGGAACGGCAAGCCTGGAATCAAGACAACAGCCTTTAATCGATAAATTTTATCAGTCCAGCGGAAGCAGCAGCAGCAGCAGACCCACCATTCGGGCCTCGAGGCGCTTCCTCTCATTCTGCAGCGTGATCTCCCGCGGGTCCAGCGTGCCTCGCAGCACGTCCTTCTCGATCTTCTTGCGCCACACGAACCTGCGGGCATGGAGGCAGGGGGGGTGTGGGAGAGCGACGGAGGGGAAGCGGAGGGTGGGACGGAGGGACGGATGGAGGGAGGGCAACACAATAGGGCAAGCGTACGCGCATCAGCAGGCTCTTTTTCTGCCAGTTTCGTTCCCTCTCCACATCCTGACGTAAAAATCTCCTTCACTGCTTTCTCGCACTGCACCAAGCAGCAGCTTCCACGTCTCTTCGTCACCTTACAACTCATCTCATACTCTCATACCTTACGACGCGCCACTCACGTCTCAGTGAGGTTGGTGTCGCCAAACGGGTTACTGTCGTTGGTGTAACCCGACACCGCGTTCGGCTTGAGCTTCTTCGCCAGCTTCTGCGCCTTCTTCTGCGCGCGCTTCGCCAAAAACTCCCTCAGTTCCTCCTCCGAAACCTTCTTCCCGCCCCTCCCGCCACGCGACGGACTCCCCTCGCTACTATCACTCCCGCTACTACCACCAGAACTCTCCGATCCCTCCGAATCCGACCGCTCCCGGCGTCGCCGGCGCGAATCCCGCTTGCTCTTCTCTCTCCGTTCTTTTTTGTCCTTTTTGCCCTTTTTGCTCCGTCCCCTGCTTCTGCTCCTGCTGCGGCTTCGGCTCCGACTGCTATCGTCACTCTCGCTAGAGTCACCTCCCCGCTGCTTCTTTTTCCGGCTACCGCGGCTTCGGCGTTTGCGATTGCGGCCGCGATCACCGTCAGAGTCTGACGCTGAGGCATCCTCGTTAGAATCGTCATCGTCACTGTCTTTACGGGATTTCCGGCTCTTCCTGCTCCGTCTCCTGCGCTCATCTGAATCCTCGCTGTCTGAATCGTCTCGCTTTGGTCGCTTCTTTTCGTCGCGACGCGCCATGGCTAACCGTGCGTGTCAAGTCAGTTGAAGCTAAGGAGCCAAGGAGCTAAGACAAGCCAGATTGGAACTATGCGGAGCCCTGGAAACGTCTGAAAGAAGCCACCAAACGGCATTGACTGCAACATTTAGGACGAAAGTAGTGTGCCACCGCTCTTTGTATATAGTGTTGCATGTTAGCAACGTCGACATCAAATGAGTGCCAGTGGTCTAGTGGTAGAATAGCACCCTGCCATGCCAGCACGGTGCAGACCCGGGTTCGATTCCCGGCTGGCACATCAGTGTTTTCGCCCACCTTGATTTTGCCATTCCAGCCTTGGAGTTGTCGCGTCAACCGCCTAGATTTTATCGTATGAAGCCTTGCGGGGGTGCGGATTGTGTGAACCAAGATTGCACCCCTTTTCGCACTTGCGGTCGCAGACGTATTCGTCTTCGCCATTTATAGCCATGTAACCGTCGCACAAAATCGGTTACCATTACTGTATCCTTCGTGCAGTTGATCAGGGATGAGTCTTGGCTGGAGCTGAGTCAGAAAACCGCTTAGAGTGTAGACGAACCGTTCTGCCACGCAAAGCATCTCATCAAGCCGCATTGAACGTGAATCTCTTTGACGCCCCAAAATATGCATCATTCAGAACACACAAATCATCCACCTTCAAACAAGCACAGCACAAGTGCTGCCGCCATGGCCGCTGTAGTTCGCCTGCACGAGCAGGTGATCGCGTCGCTCCGATCCGCCATTTCAAGGCAACCGCGTTCCGTCTCTGATTCGTCGATAGAGTCGTCCGCACCCGTGATTCTCGGCTGGTTAGTTGGCTCCTCCGCATCTTACTTCCCATGTCGCGACCCACGCCCTTCCTGCTCCGTCCTCTCTTGCATCCTCGTAGACCCACGATTCAGGGACGTCGCAGTCCAGCAGCGTGGCGACAAAGGCGACGTCGCAGTCCAGCAGCGTGGCGACAAAGGCGACGTCGCAGTCCAGCAGCGTGGCGACAAAGGCGACGTCGCAGTCCAGCAGCGTGGCGACAAAGGCGACGTCGCAGTCCAGCAGCGTGGTGACAAAGGCGACGTCGCCAAGTCCGAGGCGCGAGCTCTTTTGCCGCTGCTTCCTGGAGGACTCACAGTTGTCGGGGTTGCGGTGAGAGGGGAGTTTACCCTGGAAAATCAGGCGCTTATAAAGGAGCAGATCACCGAATTTCGGCGAATCTTTCACGACGTGGCATTGGCGCGCCGGCCGTTCATTGTGACGTGGAAATCTGACGCGTCGGGTGAAATCCCTCCGAGGATATCTCTAATGGCGGGAGTTGAGTTGAGAAAAAGTGACGTGGCACCTGCTGATTGGTGGGGACAGGATATCACAGACGATGAGGAACAGGAGCGGATAGGGATGGAGAGTGAGGGAGAAGAGGAGGGAAGGAGAGACGACAAGCTACAAGAAGAGAGTGAAGCTGATGTGGCATGGGAGCTTAAAGCGGAAGAGGAGAGTGAGAATGCTGAGGTGGAGGTAGAGGTGGTGACGGGTCAAGGGGGTAATGGAAATGGTGGTGCTAGTGCAGCTTGTGGTGCTAGTGGTGCGAGTGGTGCTACTGGGGAGGAGAATAATCAGCTGGAGGAGGAGTTTTGGGCGGCGCACTGTCCGCTGGTGTGTGACGTGGCAGCCACCCTGCCACTGTTCACCCACGACAAGCAAAGTGAGTGAGCTTCGCCCCGCTGCTCTTCATTCCATCACTCGGCAGATACATTCTTTCACCATTCCTTCCTCCCTCGGTTGTCCCACACATTTTCTCGATCTCATTCTTTCAACCGACTGTTTCTACTCTCCTCCAATCCCGCCTCTCCTCCGTCCCTCATCCCCCTTCCCTATGCCATGCCCTCTGTGCTGCTTCATCACCCACTCCACCTAGCCGCACACTCCAATTCATTCCAATTCCCCCAATTCTTCCCCCTTCTTTCTCCCCTTCCGCCTCTCCCCCCCCGCCTCTACTTCTTCCGGTTTCGCCTTTTTCCCCTGCCCACCCTCCCTTCCTCCCACCCTCCCCTCCTTCCCCCCCATCCTCTTTCTCTCTCCCCATCCCCTCCATATGCACTCGCCAGCCCTATTCTCGTCAGTATCTGCATCTATTTCAGGTGACTTTTGAGTCGACTCGAACCTCTCCCCAACCCCCCTCCTCCTCCCTCCCTTTCCTCTCTCTCCCCCCTATCCCCTCCATATACCCTATTCGCCAGCCTTATCATCGTCAATATCCGCATCTCTCTCTGCCATCCAAGCCGACGTCATCAGCCCTCACGCCCTCTGGTTGCTGCACCCATCACAACCGCCTTCCACTGCCACGTCAGCAGCTGCCAGCTCAGCATCAGCTGCTAGCACTGCTGCAGGAGCCCTGCGTCCGATCCTGATTGGCTCTCTGCCGAACGGAAGAGCCTCAGCAGCCAATGGCAGCATGACACGTGGCAAAGATGGTGGGGGGACCTCAGAGGGGATGGTGTGTGGTGATCTGCTGACGTCAGCAGAAGGGGGAGGTGGAAAGGGGGGAGGAGGAGGAGACGGGGGAGGAAAAGGGGGAGGTGCGAGAGGGAAAGGGGGAAAAGGGGTCGCTGGTGGTGGGGGAGGAGGGGGAGGAAGAGGAGAGACGCTAGCTTCGAAAAGAGTATGTTGCTGCTGGTGTTGTGCTGGTGTTGATGATGTTGCTGGTTCTGATGTTGTTGCTGGCGTTGCTGCTGCAGTTGGTGCTGATGTTTGCTCTGTTGACTTTTGAGTTGACTCAAAAGTTGACCCACGCAAGGCATATGTTTCTGATGCTGGCTCGTATTGAGCTTACACCCTTCTCTCTTGTCCTGCCACCATGCCACCCTCCCTTCCTCCTCTTCCCCCTCACGTGCTCCTAACTCGCTGATTCCTCAAAGCTGGCATCAACCACACGTGTCTCTCTGCTGCTCAACCTATCGCCACCTGCCACGTCAGCATCTGCGGGGCAGAACAGTGCACCTCTTGGCCTCAGCTACACCCCAGGTGAGGACCGCTCTCTTTTTGCTCTTCTCCCAGCCTCCCCCAGTTGCCACCTGCACCAGATAAGCCTTTCTCTCAGCTTTTGTGACGTCTCAAATGTCTCTCCTCGTCCCCCACCCTGTTCTCCTCCCTTCCTCCTGCTCTCCTCCTCGGATCCTCCCCTCTGTCCTCCTCACTCCCCTTGTTTTCCCCTCCCCAGCCGCCCCTAGCATCCACCTGCACCAGATAAACCTGTCCCTGAGCAGCCTCGTCTTTGCCTTGTGTGGTGCCTAAAGCATTCTCTCACTCGCTCTTCCCCCCATTCTCACTCCCAGCCGCCCCCAGCATCCACCTGCACCAGATAAGACTTCTTCACCTGACTTGTCTTAGATATTTGAGATGTCTCAAAAGTCTCTCTCCCCACTCCCCGTCCTCCCCAGCCGCCCCCAGCATCCACCTGCACCAGATAAGCCTGTCCCTGAGCACCCTCGTCTTCGCCCCTCAGCAGCTGTCTCTCCGGGCGGCGGTGCGTCGTCTTGTAGTGCCGGGGCTGTTGCGGCAAGTCAAGGCAATCGAGTGGATGGTGGGGGGCGGGGGAGACGGGAGACAGGGGGGTCAAGCGGGCAGGAGAGACGAGAAGGAGGAGGGGAAGCGGGGGAAGGGGGCAGGAGCAACAAGTGCGGATGGGAGAGGAGCAGCAGGGGATGCAGCGCAAGATGCGGCTTCAGCCATTTCTTTCCAACTAGGACTCAAGGTAGGCCCATTCCTGCAACTTCCCCTCATCCCTCCTGCCGTGCCGCTCCTCCACCGAGCACGCGCACCCATTTCTCCCCCCCCCCCCCCCGCTATTCCCTTTCCTGCTTTCTCGATTGCTCAGCCATTTCCCCCTTCCCCTCTCCCTGCTCCTCCTCACGTCATCCAAACCCCCACTCTGCCCCTGCCTTACCTTTCCCCACTCTCCTGCGTCCGTGCCCTTCTCCTCCCTCGCTCCCTCTCATCATGCGTTTGCCCCCCCTGCCCCACCCACATCCTTCAGTTCGGAGCATACCACTTCCTGCTGCCGGCCTGCCCACACCCTCTCACTGTCACCTACCCTCTCACGTATGGGGAGGGGCAGCAGAGCCTGGGTGAGTGGAGGGCAGCAGAGCGTGGGTGAGAGAGGGGTGGGTGAGTGGAGGGCAGCAGAGCGTGGGTGAGAGAGTGGTGGGTGAGTGGAGGGCAGCAGAGCGTGGGTGAGAGAGGGGTGGGTGAGTGGAGGGCAGCAGAGCGTGGGTGAGCAGGGAGCAGGGAGCACTGCCGCGTCTTCTGATTTCTTCAAGATAGATCCAAACCATGATGAAGTAATGAAAGAAGAAAGAAAGAATAAAAAGCATCGTTCAGCTTGGGTGAATGCGAAGCACCGCAACGCCTCATCCCATCCGCATTGTCCATCCCTGCCTTAAACTATATCCCTCCCACCCTCCCGTTCTCCCACTCTCCCTCCGATCAGTGGATATGCGCTTGGTCCTGCACACCGCCTGGGCTGGGCCTGCCCCCCATGCTGCGCATTGCCTCATCCCTATAGTCCGTCCCTTCAATACTTCCAGCCCAACCCCCCAACCTTCCAAAACCTCAAACCAAACCAAACCAACACCTCAGTGGACATGCGCTTGACCCTGCACCACCGCCTGGGCCTGCCCCTCGACCGCCCCATGCTGCGCATTCCCTCGTCCTCTTGTCCGCTCCTTACTTTCATCCCCCTCCCCACCCCTTCAACCCCAATTGCACACCTCACTCAGTGGACATGCGTATGACCCTGCACCACCGCCTGGGCCTGCCCCTCGACCGCCCCAGGCTGTGCTTTGCCTCGTCCCTCTCTCTCCCCCACACAAATACACTTCCCACACCCCATACTCCGCACCACCTTCCCCAACCGCAGTGGACATGCGCATGACACTGCACCACCGCCTGGGCCTGCCCCTCGACCGCCCCATGCTGCGCATTGCCTCTTCTCTCGCCCTCGCTACCCCCACTGCCGCACCGGACGCCACCCAAGCATCCTCAAAAGGTGGGTACCCGTCCGTTTCTTGTTTTGCCATGCCGTGCCTGGTCATGCCATCTCGTCTCTCTCCCTCGCTAACCCACACTGCGGCACCGGACGCCACCCATGCATCCTCAAAAGGTGGGTGTCGAGCCTTTGCTTGCCTTACCTTGTCATGTCACTTCTGAAATGCCACTGAAACCCTTTTTGAGGCACCTCGAAAATCCTCAAGAAGCGCCCCAAAAATCCTTCAAATTTCTCAAAGGGTGGGTGCCATGCTATTTCTTACCTTGCCTTGTCATGTCACTTCTGAAAAGCCTCTGAAGCCGTGCCGTGCCGTGCCGTGCCGTGCCGTGCCGTGCCGTGCCTTGCCGTGCCGTGCCGTGCCGTGCCGTGCCTTGCCGTGCCGTGCCGTGCCGTGCCGTGCCGTGCCATGCCGTGCCGTGCCGTGCCGTGCCTTGCCTTGCCATGCCGTGCCGTGCCGTGCCGTGCCGTGCCGTGCCGTGCCGTGCCGTGCCGTGCCGTGCCTTGCCTTGCCGTGCCGTGCCGTGCCGTGCCGTGCCGTGCCGTGCCGTGCCGTGCCGTGCCGTGCCGTGCCTTGCCTTGCCTTGCCTTGCCGTGCCGTGCCTTGCCTTGCCGTGCCGTGCCGTGCCGTGCCGTGCCGTGCCGTGCCGTGCCGTGCCTTGCCTTGCCTTGCCTTGCCTTGCCTTGCCTTGCCGTGCCTTGCCTTGCCTTGCCTTGCCTTGCCTTGCCTTGCCGTGCCGTGCCGTGCCTTGCCTTGCCTTGCCTTGCCTTGCCGTGCCGTGCCTTGCCTTGCCGTGACGTGCCGTGCCGTGCCGTGCCTTAGCTTGCCTTGCCTTGCCTTGCCTTGCCTTGCCGTGCCTTGCCTTGCCTTGCCTTGCCTTGCCTTGCCGTGCCTTGCCTTGCCTTGCCGTGCCGTGCCTTGCCGTGCCTTGCCTTGCCGTGCCTTGCCTTGCCTTGCCTTGCCTTGCCGTGCCTTGCCTTGTCGTGCCTTGCCTTGCCGTGCCTTGCCTTGCCTTGCCTTGCCTTGCCTTGCCGTGCCTTGCCGTGCCTTGCCTTGCCTTGCCTTGCCGTGCCTTGCCTTGCCTTGCCTTGCCTTGCCGTGCCGTGCCGTGCCGTGCCGTGCCGTGCCGTGCCGTGCCGTGCCTTGCCGTGCCGTGCCGTGCCGTGCCGTGCCTTGCCGTGCCGTGCCGTGCCGTGCCGTGCCGTGCCGTGCCGTGCCGTGCCGTGCCGTGCCGTGCCGTGCCTTGCCGTGCCGTGCCGTGCCGTGCCGTGCCGTGCCGTGCCGTGCCGTGCCGTGCCTTGCCTTGCCTTGCCTTGCCTTGCCTTGCCGTGCCGTGCCGTGCCTTGCCTTGCCTTGCCTTGCCTTGCCTTGCCTTGCCTTGCCTTGCCGTGCCGTGCCTTGCCTTGCCTTGCCTTGCCGTGCCTTGCCTTGCCGTGCCTTGCCTTGCCTTGCCTTGCCTTGCCTTGCCTTGCCGTGCCTTGCCTTGCCGTGCCTTGCCTTGCCTTGCCTTGCCTTGCCTTGCCGTGCCTTGCCTTGCCTTGCCGTGCCTTGCCGTGCCGTGCCGTGCCGTGCCGTGCCGTGCCGTGCCGTGCCGTGCCTTGCCTTGCCTTAACTTGCCTTGCCTTGCCGTGCCTTGCCTTGCCGTGCCTTGCCTTGCCGTGCCTTGCCTTGCCTTGCCTTGCCTTGCCGTGCCTTGCCGTGCCTTGCCTTGCCTTGCCTTGCCGTGCCTTGCCTTGCCTTGCCTTGCCTTGCCTTGCCTTGCCGTGCCTTGCCTTGCCGTGCCTTGCCGTGCCGTGCCGTGCCGTGCCTTGCCTTGCCGTGCCGTGCCGTGCCGTGCCTTAGCTTGCCTTGCCTTGCCTTGCCTTGCCTTGCCTTGCCTTGCCTTGCCTTGCCGTGCCTTGCCTTGCCGTGCCGTGCCTTGCCTTGCCGTGCCGTGCCGTGCCGTGCCGTGCCTTGCCTTGCCTTGCCTTGCCTTGCCTTGCCTTGCCTTGCCTTGCCGTGCCTTGCCTTGCCTTGCCTTGCCTTGCCGTGCCGTGCCTTGCCTTGCCGTGCCTTGCCTTGCCGTGCCTTGCCTTGCCTTGCCTTGCCGTGCCTTGCCTTGCCGTGCCTTGCCTTGCCGTGCCTTGCCTTGCCTTGCCTTGCCTTGCCGTGCCTTGCCTTGCCTTGCCTTGCCTTGCCTTGCCGTGCCTTGCCTTGCCTTGCCTTGCCTTGCCGTGCCTTGCCTTGCCGTGCCTTGCCGTGCCGTGCCGTGCCTTGCCTTGCCGTGCCTTGCCTTGCCGTGCCTTGCCTTGCCTTGCCTTGCCTTGCCTTGCCGTGCCTTGCCTTGCCGTGCCTTGCCGTGCCGTGCCGTGCCTTGCCTTGCCTTGCCTTGCCTTGCCTTGCCTTGCCGTGCCTTGCCTTGCCTTGCCTTGCCTTGCCTTGCCGTGCCTTGCCGTGCCTTGCCTTGCCTTGCCTTGCCGTGCCTTGCCGTGCCTTGCCTTGCCTTGCCGTGCCTTGCCTTGCCTTGCCTTGCCGTGCCGTGCCTTGCCTTGCCTTGCCTTGCCTTGCCTTGCCTTGCCGTGTCTTGCCTTGCCTTGCCTTGCCTTGCCGTGCCGTGCCTTGCCGTGCCGTGCCCTGCCGTGTCGTGCCGTGCCTTGCCTTGCCGTGCCGTGCCGTGCCGTGCCGTGCCGTGCCGTGCCTTGCCGTGCCGTGCCGTGCCGTGCCGTGCCGTGCCGTGCCGTGCCGTGCCGTGCCGTGCCTTGCCGTACCGTGCCGTGCCGTGCCGTGCCGTGCCGTGCCGTGCCGTGCCTTGCCTTGCCTTGCCTTGCCTTGCCTTGCCTTGCCGTGCCGTGCCTTGCCTTGCCTTGCCTTGCCTTGCCGTGCCGTGCCTTGCCTTGCCTTGCCTTGCCTTGCCTTGCCTTGCCTTGCCTTGCCGTGCCGTGCCTTGCCGTGCCGTGCCGTGCCGTGCCGTGCCGTGCCGTGCCGTGCCGTGCCGTGCCGTGCCGTGCCGTGCCGTGCCGTGCCGTGCCGTGGCGTGCCTTGCCTTGCCGTGCCGTGCCGTGCCGTGCCGTGCCGTGCCGTGCCGTGCCGTGCCGTGCCGTGCCTTGCCTTGCCTTGCCTTGCCTTGCCTTGCCTTGCCGTGCCGTGCCTTGCCTTGCCTTGCCGTGCCGTGCCGTGCCGTGCCGTGCCGTGCTGGCCGTGCCGTGCCGTGCCGTGCCGTGCCGTGCCGTGCCGTGCCGTGCCGTGCCGTGCCGTGCCGTGCCTTGCCTTGCCTTGCCTTGCCTTGCCTTGCCTTGCCTTGCCTTGCCTTGCCGTGCCTTGCCTTGCCTTGCCTTGCCTTGCCTTGCCTTGCCGTGCCGTGCCTTGCCTTGCCTTGCCTTGCCTTGCCGTGCCGTGCCTTGCCTTGCCGTGCCGTGCCGTGCCGTGCCGTGCCTTAGCTTGCCTTGCCGTGCCTTGCCTTGCCGTGCCTTGCCTTGCCTTGCCTTGCCTTGCCGTGCCTTGCCTTGCCGTGCCTTGCCTTGCCGTGCCTTGCCTTGCCTTGCCTTGCCTTGCCGTGCCTTGCCGTGCCTTGCCTTGCCTTGCCTTGCCGTGCCTTGCCTTGCCTTGCCTTGCCGTGCCTTGCCTTGCCTTGCCGTGCCTTGCCTTGCCTTGCCGTGCCTTGCCTTGCCGTGCCTTGCCTTGCCGTGCCTTGCCTTGCCGTGCCTTGCCTTGCCGTGCCTTGCCTTGCCGTGCCTTGCCTTGCCTTGCCGTGCCTTGCCTTGCCTTGCCTTGCCTTGCCTTGCCTTGCCTTGCCTTGCCTTGCCGTGCCTTGCCTTGCCTTGCCTTGCCTTGCCTTGCCGTGCCTTGCCTTGCCGTGCCTTGCCTTGCCTTGCCTTGCCGTGCCGTGCCTTGCCTTGCCTTGCCTTGCCGTGCCTTGCCTTGCGGTGCCTTGCCTTGCGGTGCCTTGCCTTGCCTTGCCTTGCCGTGCCTTGCCGTGCCTTGCCTTGCCTTGCCTTGCCGTGCCTTGCCGTGCCTTGCCTTGCCTTGCCTTTCCTTGCCGTGCCTTGCCTTGCCTGCTGATGTCCCTTCTCGCAAGGTTTAAGGTTTAGGATCTGAGTATTTTTCTCCTCCACTCCCACCTCTCTGCCTCTGACAGGTCTGCGTCTCTGGGATGTGCACGTGGGCCTTCCTCGTCTGCCACATTCCGCAGGTAGAAGATCCATCCTCAATATAGAATATCTCTGTATAGTATATGTGAGTGAAAGTACATATGTGTATATGTGTATATGCTTATGATGCTTATGTATAGTAATTCTAAGCTTTGTTTCTGTGTACATGTGTTCAGCTGTTTCCACGAGTCAAATCAAATCAAACACACTTCTTTCAGACTTAACTGCTCATCTCTCTTTCTTCACTCCCTTCTCTCACCATCTCTCCCTCCCCTTCTACGCAGGGTCTAAACAGTACCTAGTGCAGGGCTCATACGAGTATTACCACTACATGCAAGACAGGATCGATGACAGCGTGAGTTTTACTTTATTACCCTTCACTGCTCTCAATTTATTTTCCTCGCGTGTTTCTCTAGTTGACTCAAAAGGCATGAGTTTGCTTCCCTTACCCTTCACTACTCTCTGCTCGATTTCCACTCTTGTCTTCACCCTTCACTCCTATTTTCCTCATCCTTTTCACCTTTTGGCCCTCCCTCCTTCCCTCCACCTCTCCTTGTCTCCCAACCTCCGCAATTTTTCATATCCACACCTCTCTTCCCCCACTCGTTTCAAATTTCAGTACTTCAACTCTGTCTTCTCATCTTTCCTCTCCCTTCACTTCACCCTTTCCCTCTCCATTCTTCTTTGCTTCACCTCTGCTTAATCCCTGGCTTTCTGCGTGCTGCCGTACAGGGGTGGGGCTGCGCCTATCGCTCTCTGCAGACCATCGTATCGTGGTTCCGCATTCAGCAATACACATCACTACCCGTGCCAACCCACAGGTAAACCAAGCGTTGAAACTGCTCAAAGCGCACTCAGCAGTACACTTCACTCGCCATGCTGAGCCACACCACAGCACAGGTGCACCGCACGCACACAGCCTGCCAGCTCACAGAAGCATCATGTTTTTAGATGCCTCAATCAAACGTGTAGAGAGGGTGTTTTTGAGACGTCTCAATCGAAAACACCCTCTCTACACGCAGAAGCATCATGTTTTTAGATGCCTCAGTCAAACTGCATTCAGCAGTTCACCTCAATCGCTGTGCCTGCCTGCACGCACAAAGCCTTGATACGTCCATTGGCTCACAAAGCATCTCAACTCTCGACCAATGAATTCAAGGAGCCACGAAAGTGTTATTCCCCTGTTGAGAGTTCCTCAAGTTCTTGGCACTTTAAGCAGGGGACAACACACAGAGAGTATCACTGTCTTCCTTTGCTAAAAGTATCTTTCTAACTGCCGCTCACATAAGTCTTCAGGGCCAACCATCAGAGCGTGTTTTTTGAGAATTCTCAAAAAACACGGTCTTCAGGGCCAACCATCTCAAATTCCTACCAGTGGATTCAAGGAGCCATGGAAGTATTATTCCCCTCTTCCCTTCCCTTTCCACTCTCTTCCTCCTCTCCCCTTTCTCTCACCCGTCCCATGCCCCCCAGGCGCATTCAGCAGGCGCTGGTGGAGATAGGCGACAAGGACGCGGCGTTTGTGGGGTCCAGCCAGTGGATCGGTGAGATCGAGCTCAGCTTCATCCTGGATCACCCCTTGCGCCTCTTCCCCCATTTTCACCCGCCGTCTCGCGCCTGTTCCCCTTCCCCCCACGCCCCCAGGCGCATTCAGGAGGCGCTGGTGGAAATAGGGGACAAGGACGCGGCGTTTGTGGGGTCGAGCCAGTGGATCGGCGCCATCGAGCTCAGCTTCATTCTCGACCACCTGCTGGGGGTGAGATTGGGGGTGTTGGGTTGTGGGGGTGAGCTGCTGGGGGTTGGGTTGTGGGGGTGAGCTGCTGGGGGTTGGGTTGTGGGGGTGAGCTGCTGGGGGAGAGGGACAATAGTGGGAAGTGGGAGAGAGCAGGGCAGTGGATCGGCGCCACTGAGCTCAGCTTCATTCTTGACCACCTGCTGGGGGTGAGTCGGGGAGAGGGGGGGAGGGGGGAGGGGGGGGGGAGAGGGCAGAACGTTAGGGGAGGGCAATGCGGGTTGGTGGGAAGTGGGTGAGTTTAGCGCAGAAGATCGGTGTGATAGAGCTGAGCTTCATCCTGGATCACCTGCTCAAGGTGAGTCGGGGTTGGGGGGGACGGGTAGGAGCCAATTGGTGGGATGCCGGTGGGAAGTGGGTGAGCGGATGGCATAGGATCGGTGTAGAGCTGAGCTTCATCCTGGATCACCTGCTGGGGGTGAGTGGGGGGGTAGAGGGGAGGAGCAGGTCGGAGGAGGGGGAGAGAGGGGGAACAATGGTGGGAAGTGGGTGAGTAGACATGTACTCTTTGGGCCAGCAACTAGCCTACCACTCACCACTGAAGTCATACCCCATTCGATGTGAGTAACTTTTTTTGAGATGTCTCAAGAAGTTACTCATATCACGTGACTAGCCTACCACTCACCACCGAAGTCATACCCCATTCTTGCACCCCTCTTTCCTCATCCCCCCTCTCCTCCCCTACCGGCCCCCACCAGGTCACATGTAAAGTCCTCACAGTCTCATCCGGAGCAGATATGCCCTCTAATGGCCGGCAACTAGCCCACCATTTTTCCACCCAAGGCACCCCGGTAATGATAGGAGGCGGGGTTCTCGCATACACTCTATTAGGTGTAGACTATGACGAGGAGACGGGGGAGTGCGCATTCCTGATTCTCGACCCGCATTATACCGGTGGGGAGGATTTGAAGGCGATAAGGAGCGGTGGATGGGTTGCTTGGCGAAAGGCCAAGACGGACGGTGGGGCCGATTTTTTCGTCCGCGATGCTTTTTACAATCTGTTGCTACCACAGCGGCCGGCTACAGTATGAGCTACACTGGATTCTCTCTAAGTCTATAATGGCTTCTTTATAGTACAGAGGTACAACATTCGTTTTAGGAGCCTTTAGGAGAGCAACGGCTGCAATGCACTGTAGGTGCTTATCATGCAAGCATTTGGAAATTTGTGAATTCATGCATACACACTACTGCATTTAGAATGTTCATCCAGTCACACACTGTAACATGCTTGGAGCATAATTGTCCTGGTACTCCGTCTTCACTAGTGCGTTTTCATCACACCCTCCACCCGCCAAAAGCCACCCGCGCCACACCGCACCATAACACGCCACAAGACACCACAACAAACCACACCAAAACGCACTACAGTACGCCACACACGGCGCACTTTCTGGGCTAGAGCCGAGGGAGCACCCCTTCCCCACCCACCCCACCCGCTGGTTTTCAAACTCATCTTGGCCATTTCAGATGCATTGAACTTCAAAACTGAAAATATGAAATCTGTTTCAGGAACTCCTTCCTCCCCGTCCACCTGACCTCCAATGCACGGCTGCTACTAAAGCGATTCTCGAAAAGCCCTATGTCCGGGGTCGTCGGGTCTTTTCAGAACAAAAGCCACCACGGCAGCAGCTCCATCCGCAGCAGCAGCTCCATCCGCAGCAGCAGCTCCATCCGCAGCAGCAGCTCCATCCGCAGCAGCAGCTCCATCCGCAGCAGCAGCTCCATCCGCAGCAGCAGCTCCATCCGCAGCAGCAGCTCCATCCGCAGCAGCAGCTCCATCCGCAGCAGCAGCTCCATCCGCAGCAGCAGCAGCAACGTCAGGTACAGCAGCCGCCGCTGTCCGTTTCAGAGCCATGCCGCAGCCGCAGCAACAGCCACATTCGCAGCCGCAGCCGCAGCCGCAGCCACATCCGCTCCTCCGTCCGCCTTCGCTTCAGCTCCCGCCCCTCCCGCAACAGTCTGTCCCCCCATCGAATCCGCCAATGGCGGAACCATCGGCGCAACAGCCGCAACAGCGGCCAGCGCAGGGCGAACAGCAAATCGCGCCGCCGCCGAAGGCGAAGTCGCAGTCGCCGGCGCCGTCGCCGGCGCCGTCGCAGCCGTTCGCGACGCAGATTCGCGCGGGTTTCGCGAAGCTTCACGGCGAAGATTTCGAGTTTTTCATGCAGTCGTATTCCGTCGTGCTCGGTCGCAACAGCAAAAAGTCGTCCGTCGATCTCGACCTCTCCGCGCTCGGCGGCGGAATGAACGTTTCGCGAAACCATGCGAGGATCTTCTACGATTTCGCCGCTCGCGAATTTCGCCTGGAGGTGCTCGGCAAGAACGGCGTGTACGTGGACGGGCAGTCGAAATCTTCTGGATCTGACCCGATTCCGCTAAAATCCCAGCAGCTGCTGCAGGTGGGGGATAAACGGTTCTATTTTCTTCTTCCCGCCAGAAAGCCAGACCCTCATGCCAAACCTGAACCGCCTCCTGCAGCAGGTTCGGCACCTGGACCTCTGGTTCATGCCCTGGGGTCAGGCTCGGATCCAGGTCCGGGTTTGGGTGCGAGTATTAATGATGGAGCAGTCACTAACGGAGCAAGTACTGCAGTTGGGGTTGCTGCTGCTGGTGGTGGTGCTGCTGCTGGCTCTAAAGTTGTACCAACCGCTTCCCTTCATTTTCCCCAGCACCCTCCTCCTCCCACTAACCGCTTTTCTCTTATCCCTAACCAACCACTAATTACCTCTCTTAATCCCACTCCTTTGCACCGTATCTCCAATTCTCTTGGGAACCAAGAATCACTCAGCCAAGTGTCAGATGGCAGTGGGGGAGGGGTTGGAAGAGGCAGAGAAGCGGTTGGGGAGGGTAAGAGAGGGTCAGAAGGCAGTGGGGGAGCGGGTGGAAGGGGGAGAGGAACAGGTGGGGAGGGTAAGAGAGGACGCAGTCGTGGTAGAGGGGGTGGGGGGCGCGGGAATAAGAGTAACTCCATTCCGCCTGGTAACACTAGCTGTGCTGGTAATCAGATCGCCAGCAACACCAGCAACAGTAACCCTCCTACTGGTAACCAGACCGCCAGTAGCAGCATTAGCAACAGCATCAGCAACAGCATCGGTATCAGCAACACGCCTGCCTCATTAAACCGGCCTCCCATGCCCTTGTATATGCAGGAGAGGGATAGTCTGGGAGCAAATCCAACACAGCAGACCAAGGCGCTTCCAGCTCAGCCCCCTCAAACGTGGTTACCGTTACCGCAGCAAGGCAGTGTGTTGTTTCTATCCCAGCGGGCTCCCATGCTCTCAGCACAGCTAGCCACGTCACCGGTCATGCAGCGGGACGCATCGCCTGTAGTGCAGAGCGAGGCGGGGCAGAGGGAGCAGAGGGAGCAGGGTTTGAGGCTTGTGGGAGCACAGGGGATGCTGGGGTTGCAGGGTGCAAGGGGTGAAGGTACGCACGAGATGCAGGGCGTGCAGGGGCTGCAAGGCTTGCAGGATGCACGGTTTGTAGGGGCGCAGGGCGAGAATGGCGCGCAGCAGGGGATGCAGGGGACTCAGGGGACGCAGGGGATACAGGGAATTCAGGGGATACAGGGCTTGCAGAGTGCAAGGGCTGAAGGGATGGGAGTGGTTGTTGCGGAGGATGGGAGGGCCACGGGCGGAAGAGGCAGGGGTGGAAGGAGAAGCGCGCAGGGGGGAGTGGGAAGGGGGAGGAGAGGAGGGAGACGGGGAGGGGTGGTGGAAGGGACGAGTGGAGGAGTGGGTGGATCTGAACCTGCTAACACAGCCAGTGGGGTGGGCAGTGCGGTAGGCAGTGCGGTAGGCAGTGCGGTAGGCAGTGCGGTGATATTGGGTGGCAGGGTTGGGAGTGGGATGGTGATGGGTGGTAGGGTGGGGAGTGGAGTGGGCGGTGGTATGGATGGTGGCATAAGCAGTGGGGTGGGTGGTGTCATGGGTGGTGGGGTGGGCAGTGACAGTGGCGTGATGCGTATGGATGGAAAGGGGCAAGGGGAACGAAGGGAAGGCGATCAAGAGCAGAGGGGAAAGAAGAGGAAAGGTGTGGAGTGTGGAGGCGGGAGTGGGGTCACTGGGGTTATGGGCAGCACTGGTGGGGTTATGGCTACTGGCGGTGCGGTCATGAGTGAGGGTGTGAGTGGTGCTGGGCAGGTGAAACGGATGTGTGGGCCAGGAGAAGGGTGAGGAGAAGGGTGAGGAGAAGGGCGAGGAGAAGGGTGAGGAGAAGGGTGAGGAGAAGGGAGAAGTGATGGGCGTTGGGTTGGGAAGCAGCAGCAGCAGTGCCAACAACAGCAGTCGCACCAGTTTGTGGTGCGGGGTATTTGTGTGACATGGCATCTCAGGAAGACACCCTAAGAAGTTCGAACCGTACATGTGCATGGATTGAATATTGCATTGATAGAGAAATTACTAGAAAATGAGTTGCCAAACTCTGTCTACACTAAGGCATTCGCCTATAGATATTTATTATCCAAGCTACATGCAAACAACCAACCAGCAATTGTGCCCAACTACAGCCAAAGAAACGACACCAATTTGGCTGTGCCAAGAAACCAGCAAAGCCCTACAGACTACAAACTACAGACAGCTGTCAAAACAGCTTCTACCACACTGAAGTGCCAGCGTATCAGCCAGCACACACAAGCCTAACATCCAGCCTATTGCTTGTACCATTCTTTAGGCACCTTCAAGAAAGCGAACCTACAGTTGCCAACTCAGTCTGTGTCACAGATGAACCATAAGTGCAGCATACACATATCTACCTACCTGCCTATCAGTGCAGTCCCTGCCCTTGAAACTGCATGCCCGCATGATTGCATGTTGACATGCATAGAAGACCATGTTTCCACTGCACATTCACTCGCTGTCACACCCACACTCCCCCTCATAACCCCCCCTACATTTCTCCACAATTCTCTCCCAACCGTTCCTCCCACAGCCACAGTTCCTCCCACAAGCTCCCCTCACTCCCCCCTCCTCCCCTGGCTCTCCAACAAACTCCCCTCACCCCCCCCTCCCTTTCCCCCCACTCCCCACAGCCTTAACATTGCAACCGTCTCCCCATTTCATGATGCCAATCGGCACTGCAAATTGAGGTTTGAGATGCCTAAAAGCACTGCAAAGCTCTCCCCCATCTCGGATCACGGCTCGCTCGCTCGCGGCGTTACTGCTGCCGTTTGAGTTGCGACCTTGGCTTCCGCAGTGCCCTCATGCCCCATCTTCGACTGTGAATGCTGCATTTGCTTTTTTATCCGACGCAACTGTGATGGCTTTTTTGGGGCCTAAAAAATTGACCTTGGCTTCCACCGCAGTGCCCCAATCCTCAACTGCACATGCTTCTGATCTGAGGCGCCTCTTGCAAGAACCGTGGCTCATGACGCTACCGCTGCGTTACAAATCGCGACTTTGGTTGTTTCATTGCCCCAATCTTTGAAAGCGAATGCTGCAGCGGGACTTTTGGCCGCAGGGGAGCACCCCGTGCCACCAGCTGCTGCTGATTCTGATTCTGATTCTGATTCTGATTCTGGTTCTGATTCTGGTTCTGGCTCTGCTGCTGCTGCTGTGCTGCGAGCGAATGCTGAAGACTATCAGTTGAGAAGTTTCTTGGAAACTGCTGCACCGGCACCGGTGGCACCACTGCCTGCTGCTGCACCTGCAACTGCTGCTGCTGCTGCTGCTGCTGCTGCTGCTGCTGCTGCTTCAGAACAAAGGACGACGAAGGAGAGGTCCAGGCATACCTCCTAGAGCTAGCCTGCTTCTCCGGGCGGCGGAACGTGGGATCCAGCAGCTGCAGCATGTGTCCCGCCCAGAACTGCGCCTCCGGCGGGCCCTCCTTGTACACCTTATACACTATCTCGAGCCCGTCATTAGCGAGGATGAACGAGGCTGAGACTAAGTCGGAGGAGAGGACGTAGAGCGTCCAGGCGCAGGTCTTGGCAATGGCGGCAGGCAAAGGAGGCGCGGAGGAGGACGAAAAAGTGGAGTGGAAGGGTGGGAGAGAGACCGATGCTGTGGCTGCTCGAGGAGAAGGCTCGACAGAGAAGGCTTGCTCTGCTTGCCCTTCTTGCCCTTCTCGCCCTTCTCGCCCTGATCGCCCTGCAGCAGAAGCAGTGTTAGCAGCAGCAGCAGCAGCAGCAACGGAGTGGAAGAGCAGGTCGAGCAGCAGAGGCACGGCGCCGGCAGCAGCGATGGCGAGCTTGTTGTCGCTGCTGTTCACTGCCAGCGTGCCCACCGCCAGAGCCGCCCTCTCCTGCTCGCCCGTGCTGCCGTCTCGTAACATGGTTACCAGCGCAGGGATGGCACCCGCTTCCGCCACTGCCATCTGGAGTGGGGATGAGGGGAGAGGAGGGGGGGTAGGGAGAGTAGGGCGGGTGGAGAGAGACAAGAGAGGGTGTGTGCATGGAAGGGTGAGAAAGAGGGTATGCGAGGGAGTGAAGGCAGCAGCGATGGCGAGTTTGTTGTCACTGCTGTTCACTGCCAGCGGGCCCACCGCTAAAGCTGCCCTCTCCTGCTCGCCCGTGCTGCCGTCTCGTAACATGGTTACCAGCGCTGGGATGGCACCCACTTCCGCCACTGCCATCTGGGGTGGGGTTGGGGGGATGGGGGGAGAGAGGGGAGGTGGGGAGGGTGGAGAGAGATGAGAGAGGGTGTGTGCATGGAAGGGTGAGAAAGAGGGTATGCGAGGGAGTGAGTAAGGCAGCAGCAATGGTGAGTTTGTTGTCGCTGGTGTTCATTGCCAGCGTGCCCACCGCCAGAGCCGCCCTCTCCTGCTCGCCCGTGCTGCCATCCCGTAACATGGTTACCAGCGCTGGGATGGCCCCTGCTTCCGCCACTGCCATCTGAAGTGGGGATGAGGGGAGAGCAGGGCGGGTGGAGAGAGACGAGAGACGGTGTGTGCATGGAAGGGTGAGAAAGAGGGTATGCGATGGAGGGAGGAAGAGCAGCAATGGCGAGCTTGTTGTCGCTGCTGTTCCTCCCTGAGACAGCAGCCAGCGTGCCCACCTCTCCTGCCAGCGTGCCCACCTCTCCTGCTCACCTGTGCTGCCTGCTTGCCTGTGCTGCCGTCTCGCTGAAACACGCGCACACTTGCTGTCGGGTGATTCGCTCACCTGCAAGTCCCAAACTTGTTCTGTTCATTGCTACTTGTGGCAGCTGCACGGCTGTGAATATTTCCCCTCAACTCCACTTTCCCCCCACACCCAACTCATTTTGACGTTCAGCATAGATCCCCCCTCTCTCGGCCCCCCTCTCCCCCCTCCCTCTCCCTCCACTCTCGGCTCCCCTCTCCCACCTCCCTCTCCCACCACTCTCGGCTCCCCTCTCCCCCCTCCCTCTCCCTCCACTCTCGGCCCCCCTCTCCCCCCTCCCTCTCCCTCCACTCTCGGCCCCCCTCTCCCCCCTCCCTCTCCCCTCTCCGCCCCCCTGTCCCCCCTCTCACGGTTACAAATCTTCTCATTGTAAACTGTGAGGTGTGCTATCGCATCTGCTTCTTCCACTCACAGACCATTTTTGAGGCGCCTCAAAAACCCTCTCGGCCCCCCTGTCCCCCCTCTCACGGTTCACAAATCTTATAATTGTAAACTGTGAAGTGTGCTATCTATCGCATCTGCTTCTTCCACTCACAGACCAGCCCAGCCCTCCCCACACTGCCCCATCCCCCCTCCCCTCCTCCCTAACTTTCTCATTCTCATCTGGTACTTCTCGCTGTTTGCCGTGAGGTGTGCAATCGCAATTGCACACTGCCCAAACCCCCTCCACGCACGCACTGTCACACCCCCTCCACAACTGCCCAACCCTCCCCCCTCTCGCGCCCTTACTTGTTTCTTTACGTTTTGTCTGAGAGGTGTGCAATCGCAGCCGCACATGCCCAAACCCCCTCCACGCATTGCCCAGACTAGAGCCCAAACCCAGTCACCCTTATCCCTCTCGCGCCCTCACCTATGTTTCTTCTCGTTGTTGGCTGTGAGGTGCACAATCGCGCTAGCACTCTGCACGCTGCCCAAACCCTTAACCACTACCCACCCCCCTTCTCCGCCTCACCTGGTTCTTCTTGTTGTTGGCTGTGAGGTGAGCAATGGCATCGGCAGCATCCTGCTTCACTGCAGCGTCTGTCTGCGACTGCAGAATCGCCACCGGCGATGGAATCGCCTCACTCGTCGCGATCACTGCTCTGGAGTTGCCGCCCCCAGGGAGGGTGGGTGCCATTCCCTATACCCTTCTTCCATGCTTGCATTGACACTCAACATCCCCTTTGTTGCTTTGCTCTCTGTTCACCCACTGCCCACGCATTGCCCAGCCCAGAGCCCCCCACTCTCCCGCCCCTTCCTCCTCCTCTCTCACTCTCACCTGGTTCTTCTCGTTGTTGGCTGTGAGGTGAGCAATGGCGTCAGCAGCATCCTGCTTCACTGCAGCGTCTGTCTGCGACTGCAGAATCGCCACCAGCGATGGAATCGCCTCACTCGCCGCAATCGCCGCCCTGGAGTTGTCGCCGCCGCCCCCTCCCACTCCCACTCCCCCTCCCCCTCCCCCTCCCCCTCCTCCCACTGCCACCTTCCAAAGCACCCGCGCAGCCACGGCGCGCAGGTCCGGCGATCCGGTTCGGAGGATGCTGACTAGGATCGCGACGCAGCCAGCCTTCACCACCACGGCTCGGTTCTCATCAAGAGACACGAGCGATAGGAGCAGTTGCAAAGAGACTATCTTAAGCTCTTCCCCTATGCTCGACGTTCTAGCACTCCTGGTACCACTCCCAGTCCTGGTTGCGATAACCGGGCCACCTGCACCACCTATCCCCGCTGCCCCCCCGCTGCTTCCGAAGCTGCTGCTGCCGAAGCTGGCTCCCAGGTCCGGATGACTGAGCAGCACAGCAATCACAGGAACCACCCCTGCTGCAGTCACGTGCAGCTTCCCCGCATCCGACGACTCAGATAACTCCAGAAGCGCCCTCAGCGCCGTCCGCTTTTCCAGCGCAGATCCCCGGGAGAGCGAGACGACCAGCTGGCGGGCGGCAGCTGGGCCGGCAGAAAAGACAGAAGTTCCAGTGGCGGTAGAACTACGAGGGGAAGAGGCGCCTGAGAGGGGAAGGCGGGTGGGCTGGTGTGGGGGGGTCGGTGGGTGGGAGGTGGTGAGAGGGGTAGGCGGGGAGCGAGGGGGGAGCGTCCCTGGGAGGGCGGTTGCTAGGGCTGAATTGGAGGTTCTGGTTCCGCTGTGAGTGCGGTTGTTTCTGGAACCTTGCCTATTGGGAGTTTGCTTACTGGGAGCTGAGAGAGCAGTGGCCGCAGCAGGTGGTGAGGCTGTAGCGGCTGCGCGGCCCCTGCCCCCATCGTCACTAGCGCCAGCCGCAGCTGCAGCAGCATCAGCAGTAGCGGCGACGGCGGCGGGGACGGCATTAGGGGATGTGGGAGTGTGGGCAGAGGCAGCAGAGGTGCTAGCAGCCCTGTTACCGCTCTGCACGCCTCTACCCCCCCCAGCAGCCTCAGCGCTGTTTCGGCCGCCTGCCATAAATAACGACCTATCAACCATGGAACTTGAGGGGAGCGCCACGTCCTCTAAGCTCCTCCGATCGCGCTGCTGCTGCTGCTGCTCTTGCTCCTGCTGCTGCTGATACCCATACCCTTCACCTGTTTCTCCTTGTCCTCCTTCAACATCTCCCCCTCCTCGTGCTCCCCCTCCCATTCCTCCCACTCCATATCCGCCTCCCCCTGCTCTGACTCCTCCGCCGTCTTCCTCCCCTCCCACTGAGCTCCTCCCACCAACGCTCTGAGTGCGCCTATAAACCGTGGAACCCTGTCCGAGCAGGAGTAGGCACTCCGTGTGACACTGGCGAATCTCAGCTAAGCACGCTTTTAGCTGAGAGGCAAGAGCGGAGGAGGAGGAAGCGGAGGAGGAGGTGAAAGGGATGGAGCAGGTCGAGCCTGAGGATAAGTCTCGGGAGAGGGGGGGTGGGTCATCCAAATTAACCGGGTTAGGTTCGGCAAGAGGTTTGGCATGGCTACCAGTACGGGGTTTGGAAGAGAAGGCGGATAAAGACAAATGTAGGCTGCCAAAGAAGCGGAACAGGCCTGCGAATGGAGATTTGCTCGATCTGTTACATGCCTCGAGGGCAGTTACAGTGGTTTCTAGCTCCGTTAACAGCCGTTGGATGATAAATATCGCACGAGGATCGGAAGCGAGGTTCGCGGCTGCCGGACCTTGCAGCTGAATTAGGATCGGCAGGAGCTGCTTGGTTCGTTTCGAAACACGCTCGGCAGATACACGGAGGGCGGCGTTCCGAATGGGCGGAAGAGGGGGGCCGGTCGCGTGGAAAGGGGAGGCGGAGGGGGAACTGGGGAGGGATGCGGAGTGCCGGTGAGGGGAAGTAGAGGTAGGGTAAGGGCCTGATAGATGGACGATGCGGTTGCAGAGAGCAATGGCGGAGGAGAGATCGGTGAGGACGGAATTGGACGGTCCACCTGAGGGGGAAGCAATGGGGCCGGGGAACGTGTTTTCCGAGGAAGCCCTCAGCGAGGACGGCCTTAATGGGTTGCGAATGGCTGTTTCTGGACCGGGGGGAGACACGGTTCTGTTCGGATGCGAAGGGGAGTGCATTCGAAAAGAAATTTCTGCGGGTTCAGCCGCAGCAGCGGGCTGGTAATGACGGTCAGCGTCATGAAGACGGTGACCGTTTATTCCCCGACGGCCGTCGTTCCGTTCTGATTCGCGGCCGTTACCATTCTGACGGCCGGATTCCGGTTCAGAGATGCGGTGAGCCGTAGATTGAGATGGACGCTGAGCTAATAACGGGGATGCAGAACCGGGACTAATATCGGACGGCGGAGTTTGAAACCCGCTGCTGCTACCACCGCTGCTGTTTCCATGACCCCTGCAGCTCGTGCCGTTCGCTCCCTCTGGTATACTCTGCTTCGATTGTGGCATGTAATCCCGCTGTGGTGCTGAATCATTGTAATGTCTGACCTTATCAACCCTCGAAGTACGGCCTTGGGTTTGCCGATCTTCACTCTGCTGTGATCGTGCTGGGTGGGAAGACTCGCTATAACGTGACTCGACAATATGACTGTAAGGAGGCTCGGCGTGCGGACCGTGTGAACGAAGCGTCGGCCCAGGAGGCTCGGGAGATGAAGCGAGATGATCAGGAGAGGAATCGCGAGGTTCGAAAGGGTAGGCTGGAGGCACGGAGGAGGCGGGGAGCTGGGGTCGGGCGTTTTTTGAGGTGTCCTGAGCGGTGCGGTAGAATGACGGAGGTTCCGGGATTTGATGCTGCTGCTTCTGCTGCTGTTGCCGCACCCTCTTCGTCGACGCCACCTGCGGTCCTCACACAACCAAATTAGATCAAATATAAATTAAATATGTTTGAAAAAGGGGCAAAACACAACACGAAAAAAAAACCCTAACCACGAATGCGGAAGCATTTTATACTTGTGGTTCCGAGGTGGAACGGAACACGAGCGGATTCAGAGAAGGTAAGGGGCGGGACAATGCGCAGAATATACGCACCGACGATGCCTGGACTCTCCCTCGAGGCATCAGACGACGCGGTGAGGATTATTTGTAGCAGCGAGATGTGCGATAGCGGATCGTTGCCGTCACCGGGCGAGTTTCAGTGGATTCTTGAAACAAAAATATTCGTTGCTGCTTGGTACCCTAAACACAAAGATGGAGGCGCCGACGCGTGGTACCCCCGCATTAGGGTTGCAATGTAATATGGTGAATGGTCTCGCGCGGGAGTACTTAAAACTCGGTTAATAAATAAATGAAGGCCATGGAGATGACAGACGTTGCCCTGTTCGGTTAGTTAATGCCGGATAGTGACCACATCGGCGCGTGATTATGTTGCGTCGCAGCGCAAGGGATAATAAGCTGGCAGAACGTGGGGGACAAGGGGGGTGAGACCCACACCGCAAGCAACACAGCCGCGGAAAAGAACGTCAGTCGTGCATATTCTCGCAAATAACACCGTCACCGATGCTTGGAGCTAGAGAAAGACCTAGAGTGAGGATGAGTGCAGCCCTGCAGAGTCCAGGACAGTGCACTAGGAACAAAACGTCTGCGTTCGGTTCAGCGTCACAACAGCGTCGCAGAAATGTCAACTTCCCCTCACCCATCCACTGATTCCTTCGCTAGGTGTACGTGCACAGCTGATGATGAGTCCGGCTTGGACTGGACGAGACGAGCAAGGTTAAGGTTAAAGCTCTCAAGACCTGAATTGCTCAACGCAAGTCAACGCGGGGCAAAACTGTGGGCTGCGGGAGGCAAACTGTGCACAGTTTGCCCTCGTTTTTTGTAATTCGGGTCTTGGGCTTTAAGGTTATATGCGGTTCCCTCCACAGCGTTGGGAACTGTGTGGCTTGGATTGAAACCCACGAGAGTCATCTCGTTGTGGTCCTTGACCTGGCCCATGATGGTCAATCCGCAGCCCCGCACGAAGGCAACGAATATTAGGGCGTGTTACATTTTTCAAACTCCCTGAAAGTCCGGACGGCTGTCCGAACGCGTGCGAAGATTGCGACGTCGTACGGTCACGTTGCGACCAATGCGATGTCGTAAGGAGGCAATACGAAGAATACGACGTCGTTTAGACCCTGACGAACTTACTGCCGAGATTTAACGAGTTCCGTAACCACAGAATCGTCCGGACGGTCGGCCGTCCGGACGAAAAAAAAGAAAAATGTAACACGCCCTTAAAAGGAGGAGAAGGGCTGTTGGTACGAGGTGTAAAATGCCCTCAATGCCCTGAACCTGTTGATTTCTGTTTTTATGGTATTCTGCATTTTGCAGGCTTAGACTGTAAACTACCCACGTCTTTGATGGCTGGTTGGCCCCATCGAAGCCCTATCGAGAACATGCGGGCAAAATGGGTTTGCAAGGGGATGACGGATCGTCGACCATTTACATTCCCAGCATGAACTCTTCTTGTAGGTTCGTTTAGGAAATGCTAGACTGCCTGAATTTCCTAAACTTTGAAGACTTCCCGCAAGGAGCATGACAAGTCTCGATCAGTCGCAGGGCATGGGTACGGCGTTGCAGCATTTTCGTCCGAGTCTGCGACAAATTTTCATTGGTTTTGGTGGTGAAGCGTTGACGAAAGTCGAGGACAGCCTGCGGCGCGAATTGTAGTATTCCGCTATAACCACGAAGCACATAGGTACCTGCAGACAACCCAAGTTACATATCAGTATCCGACATCCCAAGTTAATTATCACCAAAAAGGCATATACACCAGGCTCTAACACCAGTACTACCAGAATTTTCCTCCACCCACTATCATAGACTCATCCTCTTCCCTTAAAAAATTACCATCATCTAACAATGAAGCTTTCCCACAAGTGAAATCCCACAAACGCATCCATCTGCCTTCAACCTCCTCCACCACATGTTGTTGCATCCTCCTCCCAAGCACAGCCCTCCTGCGATAGCTCACCAAGGCAGCAACTACCACACCCCCACATGCATGCATACTCTCCACTAGAACTCGCCTCACCGTCTCAGGAGCATTGCCCCTACTTTCGCCAGCAGTCGCAGCATCAGCTGTAGCACCACCTTCCCCTATAAGGTCAACATCCGCAGTTAAATCCCTGTGGTTACCAGCATTTGTAAGGTTACCACCACCAGCAGCATCACCACCAGCAGCACCACCACCATTATCACCCTGGTCACTTGCATCATCTGTAGTATCCACCAGCCATGGGGGGAGAACAGTAGCGTCCAACGAGCAAATCTCCTCCCCAGTCTCCACATCCCACACACACAACACTCCGTCCCCTCGGCTCCCACTGATGCATTTATAACCGTCCAGGTACAGTAAATCCACTGTACTGTTGTGCGCTTTTGAGCAGGCGAGCAGCGTGAACTCAGCCACGCCTGCCTGGCAGCTTGAGAGCACTTTAGTTTCTCGCATGCCTGCTGATACCTGCCCTCCTGGCCAAAATCCCGAGGCCAAATCAACCGCACCCACTGCTTGTCCATTGGGTGCCTGCCCCATGCGCCATAGCCTAACACAGCCATCCTCGGAACTCGCTGCAATGATGCAGCATGATGGGGAGGAGGCGAAGGAGGAGAGGGGGGAGGACCCGCATGGGAGGGCTAGAACCTGAAGGGCGGACGAGAAGGGAGGAAGTAAGGTGGAGGGGAAAAGAACCGAGGAATTCGGGATGTTAAGGGTTATGCGAGAATTGAGACGCCTCAGAACTCAGCTTGGCATACAGGCATACAAACAAGCATGCCATACTGTACTGTACCATTCTATACTGTACCGCACCGTACCGTACCATACCATCCCATGCCATACTATACCATACCATACCATACCATACCATACCATACCATACCATACCATACCATACCATACCATACCATACCGTACCGTACCGTACCGTACCATACCATACCATACCATACCATACCATACCGTACCGTACCGTACCGTACCATACCGTACCGTACCGTATCGTACCGTACCGTACCATACCATACTACCATAGCATACCATAGCATACCATAGCATACCAAACCATACCCTACCCTACCTACCCTACCCTACCCTACCCTACCCTACCCTACCCTACCCTACCCTACCCTACCCTACCCTACCCTACCCTACCCTACCCTACCCTACCATATCTTACTGGACCGTACCGTACCTGTTTCATTGTCAGCAGGTCCACTGCTGCAATGCCTCCTCTGCCCACCACGAGGCACAGCGCATGGGATGGGTGAGGTGGGAGGGGGAGGAGAGCGAAGGGCGCTGCGGGCGTGCGACACGTGCCGATGGAAGGGGAGGAGGAGGAGGAGGAAGAGGAGGAGGAAGAGGAGGAGGTGGTGGTGGTGGTGGTGGAAGGAACTATGTGGTGGCAATCCCACAAACGCAGCTGTTTGGAATGGGAAACAAAAAGCACACAACAGATCAATCTATTTCAGAGGTGTATATTAAATAGAAGTAGGAGGTGGTGGTAGGGTAGGGGCTGATGGTGGAAGGAACTATGTGGCGTCAATCCCACAGTCGCAGCTGATTGGTATGGGAAACAGCACACAACAGGTGAAGCGAAGTAAAAAGAGGGTGGGGAGGGAGGGAGGGTGGTTGCACGCAGATTAATTGGCACATGGTAGTGGCGAGGTGCAATGCTTACGTATCAGTGCTAGACTCTCAAACAACAAACACGGTATCTCGAAGGATGGTACTGGTTGTAACAGAGAAGAAGGAATTGACAGTAAGAGGTAAATTGATTGTAACAGAGACAAAGGGATAGATATGCAACACAAGTGACTGGATTCATATATATATTTTTTTGGTGTACTTTCAGTTTTCCTCCTTGTAGCGAGAAAATGAGGGAGGGGAGAATCTTGCCTTTCCATTCAAAGCAGCGCTAGCAAAAAGGAAGGAGGGTAAGTTGAAAAAAAAAAAATGGAGGCTAAGACATCCCATAGTGAGGTTGGAGAAATATTTTCCGGGCAATGCTCACCTTGGCGTCACGTGCAACAAGAGTTGTGTTTTGAGTTAACTCAAAACACGACTCATTACACGTTGGAGAAATATCATCAGAAATATCGTCAGGAATATCGTCGGGAACATCGTCCGGGCAATGCTCACCTTGGCGTCACGTGCAACACTAGCCAGAAGGAAGGGGTTGTGCCTGTATTGAGGGAGGGTGAGTGGGGGGGGGGGAGTGTGAGGTTGAGAGGAGAGCACGAAGAGTTTTGAGACGTTTCAAAAGAAGGATGTGACTGGCATGAGGGATGGGGAGGGCGAAGGGTGAGGTTGTGAGGAGGGCGTGAGGAGGGCGTGAGGAGGGCGTGAGGAGGGTAAATGAAAATGAGGTTAATGAAAATAACCTGATTGGGTTAAAGGGGCATGTTTCTGTCTAGTGTGGCACTCCCATAACCCTCTAGAACGCACCTGTAGCCCGCCCACACTCAACTGGGGGAACAAGCCCAGTGCCCCACCAACAGATGAGTGAAGGTTAATGAAGGAGGGAGAGAGTATGATGGCAGGAGGGAGACAAGGGAAGGGCAGATGGATCGTGTTTTGAGTCGACTCAAACCACAAAGGCGAGTGAAGGAGGGAGAGCATATGATGGCACTAGGGAGACGAGGAAAGGGCAGATGAAAAGAGAAAAATGCTGTTGCACTGCATGCAAGCTTGCACAAGGGGCAAGTCACCCACGTGGCAACAGCCAGAGCAGCAATTGGCCCCTCGTGGCCCTTGAGTGTGTCGGAGAGACGGAGGGAGACGGGAGAGGGGCAGGAGGAAGCTGGTATACGGTGCAAGACGAACAGGGCTCAGGAAAGAGAAAGAGAGAGAGAGGGAGAGCGAGCACCCACGTGGCAACAGCCAGAGCAGCGATTGGCCCCTCATGGCCCTTCAGTGTGGCAACACATGATGACCGCCCCTTCCCTGCAAGGTGGGGGAGGGGGAATTGTGACAAGGGAGGAAGGGGAAGTAGAGAGAAAATGGTTGGCTGGAGGGATAGGTAGGGGGGTTTGGGCGGAGGCTTTAGTAGGAGGGTTTGGGCAGAAGATTTGGGAGGAGGAATTGGTGAAAGGAGGGTACAAGCAGGGATGAGGTAGGCTGACAGTGATGTGACAGAGGGAAGAGCAGGATGGTAGCAAAAAAGGAAAAAAAAGGAAATAAAAGGAAATAATAACAAGTTCCATCAAAGTCAAGCGTACCTGATGGGCTTTTGAGTCGACTCAAAAGTCAAGCGTACCTGATGGGCTTTTGAGGCGCCTCAAAAGTTACCTGATGGGAGGAGGGACCAGATGCGAACGGTGCTGTCGCTGCTGCCGGTGGCGACACATGGGAGGAAGGAGGACGAGGAGGAAGATGCAGAAGAAGAAGAGGAGAAAGCAGGTCCCGAAGTCTCATGTCCGCTTCCTATGCAGGGGTGTTGAGTGCCTATGATGCGGTCTGAGAGGCAGAGAATGGGGCCTGTGTGCCCTGAGAAGGAGTGCAGACAGGTGGTCTGGGTGGGAGGGAAAAGAGCAATGGGAAGAAGCAAGGGTGTGAGGTGCCTATGATGCGGTCTGAGAGGCAGAGGATGGGGCCTGTGTGCCCTGAGAAGGAGCGCAGACAGGTGGTCTGGGTAGGGCAGCAAAGGGGAGAAAGGGAAGAAGAGGGCAGACAAGGCAGAGAGGACAGCAGAGGGAAGTAGCGGGCAGAGAGGGCAGAAGAGGGCAGAGAGGGCAGAGAGAACAGAGGGTGGTATATCACAGGGACGAAGCAAGGGCGTGAGGTGCCGAGGATGTGTCTCCGAGGAGAGAGGAGAGAGGAGCGAGGAGCAAGGAGAGAGAAGAGAAGGGACAAAGGTGAAGAGGGACGAGGGACCCAGCTTGTGTGCCCCCACTACCTGTTTCACCCCCTCACCTTGCAAGTTTTGAGGCGCCTCAAAAGCTTGTGTGCCCCCACTACCTGTTTCACCCCCTCACCTTGCAAGTATCTCTCACCTTGCCCCAGAGGCGCAGAGTGTGGTCCAGGCTGGTGTGGGCAGGGCAAGAGAGAGAGCACAGGCGCGAGGCAAGACAAGAGGCATGATGGAACTATCTCACCTTGCCCCATCTCACCTTGCCCCATCCGACCTTGCCCCATCTCACCTTGCCCCTCACCTCGCAAGTATCTCTCACCTTGCCCCAGAGGCGTAGAGTGCGGTCCAGGCTGGTGGAGAGGAGGAAGGTGTGGGCGGGGAGGGGCGGGACGAGGCGGGCAGCGGCAGGGAAGGGCGAGAGGTCCACTGGGAGCAGTGCTGTGATTCGCCCCTTGTGAGCTGTGAGCACCCCTGATAGCTGCACCCTTCCTAACGCTGCTGCTCCCCACATAAGAATGTTGGAGCCCTGTATGCAAGGGAGGTGGGTGCAGGGGTCATGGGAGTGGGGTGGGGAGCAGGGAAGGGCGAGAGGTCCACTGGGAGCAGCGCTGTGATGCGGCCCTTGTGCGCTGTGAGCACTGCTGACAGCCGTACTCTTGCTGATGCTGCTGCTCCCCACATAAGAATGTTGGAGCCCTGCATGCAAGGCAAGAGCAGTGGGTGCGTGCAGGGATCATGGGAGAGCGGAGGAAGGAAGGGCGAGAGGTCCACTGGGAGCAGCAGCGCTGTGATGCGCCCATTGTGTGCTGTGAGCACTGCTGACAGCTGCACCCGTCTTGCTGGTGCTGCTGCCCACCACAGGATAACGTTGGAGCCCTGCTCGCAAGGGAGGTGGTTGGGTTGGGTAGATTCTATACCGTTGACGCTGGGTTGGGTTGGGTTGGGTTGGCTTCGAATCGTTCAATCATTTTGCAGGCAAGGCAGGTGGTTGGAGTGGATTATTGCTGCTGTGATGCGCCTTGTTGTAAGGGTGGGGGGGAGGGGGGAGTGTGAGTGAGCGACGCTTGAACGAACTGGTTTTTGAGAATTCTCAAAAACCAGGGGGAGGTGTGAGTGTGAGGGGGGGAGGGGGGAGTGTGAGTGTGAGTGAGCGACGCTTGAACGAACTGGTTTTTGAGAATGTGAGTGAGGTGTGAGTGTGAGGGGGAGAGGGGGGAGTGTGAGTGTGAGTGTGAGTGAGCGACGCTTGAACGAACACGAAAAGGTGACGGAGAGAACCAAGACCGAAAAAGAAAGAAAGAAAAGAACAAAATAGAAAAAAACATAACAACGAGAAAACAAAACCCGAGCTATGAATGAGGTACAAGGGGAACTGGAAAAACAAAAACAGAAACAAAACAGAGCCAAAGAGACAAAAACAGAGCCAAGGAGCGTACCTGCACTGCCACCACATGATGCCTTCCTTCCCTCCCATCCTTCCCCCTCCCCTCCCCTTCCTCCCGTCCCTCCTCATCCCACTCATCACCCTCCCCAGCGCCTGGGACTGAAACTGAGGATAAAGCAGGGATGGCGGAAAGGCCTCCGCCCCCCTGCAGCACCACCACTGCGCTCACAGGCTTCTGCGCTTCCCCTTCCCCCCCGCCGCCCTGCCCCCCACCTCTCCCCCCAACGATCCCCCCTCTTCTTCCCCCTGGCCCACCCCATCCCCATGCTGCTGCTGCCGCGCCTTCCCCTCCCCCGTCCCCCTCTCCTCCGCCTCCTGCTGCTGCTGCGCCCCCCCTTGCGTCCCCAGACAGGGGCCATGCGCACGTGGCAGGGTCGGCGATTTGCAGCTTCTGTGCTGCCACGTGGCGCTTTATGAAGGCCTCACGGAATCCTGAGAGGAGCGCGGCCTGAAGCATGGAAACACGGGGCATGGAGTGCGGGAAAGGAAAGGGGGAACGGGAGGGGGGAGAGGAAGGGGAAGGGGAACGGGGAAGAGAAAGGGAGGGGGAAGGTGAAGGGGAGGGGGAAGGTGAAGGGGAGGGGGAAGGTGGAGGGGAGTGGGAGGGGGAGGGAAAGAAGGAGGAGAACGTAAGGGACTTTGCCTCTAAAACTCACTTTCAGAACCTTGTTTTTTTCCAAAAACTATGAGAGACTTGATGCGCTGGGTACACGAGATATATGCGAACCTGACGGGGTAGCGCTCCCTGATGTGCCACGTGGCATGCCCACGGTGCATCGCTATTGGCCAGTTGGTGAAGCGACGAGCAGCAAAAGGAGAGGTTGACGAGGTCGCGGGGAGAGAGCCATCGGCCGCAGTGCGCGAAACAGTCTGCGGTAAGATCCGCTAAGGACGTTTGAGCCGCCATGCGAGGACGGAGCACGTCTGATGTGTAGCCTTGTGTTGTAAACTGTCTTAAAGTTTATTTTCAGATACCATACATGTGTTCATGCCGGAGTGGTTAACGGGACAGACTAGAAATCTGTTGGGCTCTGCCCGCGCAGGTTCGAGTCCTGCTGAACACGGTTTTACTCTTGCTTGCAGCTTCAAACAGGTGAATGTGTTTGATTAGAACACGTCTTCACTAGTACTTATGCTGGAACACATACCATACCTTCCCCCCTCCTAAAACTAGATACAGTTATGCCTAGTTGTGTGTTCATGCCGAGGTAAGTCTGGGATGTGCTACCCACACACCCATCCTCTTGGAACCTCCAATTTCAACAGCTCCGATTCTGTGAACCTGCCATGGCTCTACCGTAACTTGAAACCCATCATTCACTCCAAGCATCAGGCCTGGCAGGCAGCACCCTCTCAAGTGTCAAATATGAATTTGAATAATTACAGCACACGTGACAATCCCAGCATTCCTCAAATGTCATCCTAGATCTGAATTATATTACATGTCATCTCCCAACTTAGGATTCAGTTAATGACCTCGGCCAATGAGAATCAGATGTCATCCAAGCTCAGTTACTTACACGTCCCCTTCCAGCAGCCATTACATGACATCACGGTTCAGTAACATGTCCCCTTCCACCAGCCGTTACATGTCATGTCATCCCAGTTCAGTTACATTACATGTCATCTTCCAGCAGCGGCTTTGACGGCAGACAAGGCTGCACACTGCACGAGCCGAGAGACACAATAATAGAAAGACAAAAGGCAGAGCAGATATTTTAAGGGCAGTCCCTCCCACCATGCCCTGCACTCACCTCACCAACACTTGACTCACCAGGCCTTGGCGCGGTGCAGCACGGAGTGAGTGCAAACTAATGCCCAGAAGCCGGGGGACCAATGCAAGCTGCCTGCCTCGACAAGCCAACACACTCGCACACCTCAACGCCTAGGGTTCCCGGTGATTGCCTCACCATGCCCCAACTCACCAGGCCTTGGCGCGGTGCAGCACGGAGTGAGTGCGGAAGAAGGCCCAGAAGCCCTGATACCATTGCAGGCTGCCTGCCTCTCTCACAGCACTTACACACCTCACCATGCAATGGGCTCCTACCGTGATTCACACTCCATGTCTTGGCGCGGTGCAGCGAGGTGACATTTGAGTCAACTCAAAAGTCAATTCACGCACCATGTCTTGGCGCGGTGCAGCGCAAAGTGAGCGTGAAAGAATCAGTGCGGCCAGTGCAGGCAGGCAGGGCTCACACACGTGCACACCGCACCATGCCCTGGGGTCACCATGCCAGTGATTGTCTGGGCTCGCCTGTGATTGTCTGGGCTCGCCTGTGATTGTCTGGGCTCGCCATGTCTTTATTCACCATGCCAGTGTTTGCCTGGGCTCGCCTGTGATTGCCCAGGCTAACCATGCCTTCATTCACCGTGCCCCAACTCACCATGTCTTCATTCACCATGCCCCAACTCACCATGTCTTGGCGCGGTGCAGCACAGAGTGGGTGCGGAAGAAGGCCCAGAAGCCTTTCGACCAATGCAGGCTGCCCGCCTCCTCCACCGCTGCCGACCGCATCAGTGCCACCACGTCCCTCAGCACCTGCTGATCCTCCGCCTCACTGCAATAACAAAAATAGAGGGGGGCGGGGGAGGGGCAGGAGAGGTGTTGAATCCTTGTCCCATCCGCTGCCCGCCTCCTCCACTGCTGCCGATCGCATCATTGCCACTGCGTCCCTCAACACCTGCTGGTCCTCCCGAGTCAAGCCAACGCAACTGAGCCTACCACTGCCACGGACCACAGCTCAGTAGCCGAAATTACCAGTGTGGTGAGGAGAGGCAGGTGAGGAGAGGCAGGTGAGGAGAGGCAGATGAGGAGTTCCGAAATGGCCTCGGAGCGCAGCAGCAGGCGCAGGCAGGTGGGGCAACAGAGAGCCCTGTGTGTCCCCACCCACAGACGTACCAGTGGGGGGAAGGTCCAATCGAGCCCCACTTAGAGGCCATGGTTCAATACGTGGCAGCAATTCTTTGGTTTGAGACACCTGAGTAGGAGGCGCAGGCAGGTGGGGCGACAGAGAGCGTGTGTCCCCACCCACAGACGTACCTGAGGGGGGAGGTGAGCCAGGCTAGCAGGTCCGGTTTGGCCTCAGAGCGCAGTAGCAGGCGCAGCAAGGTGGGGCGGCAGAGGGCCCTGTGTGCCCCCACCCACAACACAAGCAGAACCACGAGCAAGCACCCACAGACCTACCATTTAGAGGGCCCTGTGGGCCCTGTAAATTGGTATGGGGAGCCGAGCCATTGAATGCAAGACGTACCAGTGGGGGGAGGTGAGCCATTGAATGCAAGCGTACCAGTGGGGCGAGGTGAGCCAGGCCAGAAGGTCCGGACCCAAGGAACACCACCCAAGGGTCCGGACCCAAGGAACACCACCCAAGGGTCCGGACCCAAGGAACACCACCCAAGGGTCCGGACCCAAGGTCCGACTCAAGACGTACCAGTGGGGGGAAGTGAGCCAGGCCAGAAGGTCCGGAATGGCCTCTGATCGCAGCAGCAGGCGCAGGGAGGTGGGGCGGCGGAGGGCCTCGGAGCGCACGAGGAGAGCGAGGTGGCGCTGGAAGAGCAGCGTGAGCTCCGCCATGTTCATCCTCGCCTCCACATAGCCGCCTTCTCCGCCCTCTCCGTTCTCTCCTCCCTCTCCCCCGCCTCCATGCTCCTCCCTGTACCCGCCTCTGTAACCCCCTTGCCCACCCTGCTCCCTCTGCTGATGCTGCCGTTGCTCTGCTCTCTCCTCTAAATCTGTTTCATCCTCCTCCTCATCTCCCTCACAGTCCTCCTCATCCTCACCCTCTTCCCCCTCTTCCTCCCCGTCCTCCTCCCCACGCCACCCATTCCTCTCCAGTTCCTCCCCGTCCTCCTCCCCCTCCCCATTCACCAGAACATCCGCTTCTCCACTACCAGACAAACCCCGCCGCTCGAGCTCGCCGCCCGCGGCATTAGTTGCCGTCCAGCTGACGTGGTGGTCCAGCCTGGGCGGCCACTCCAGCAGCATTCTCTCCTCGTCCTCCTCATCTGGATCCCATCCCACCGCTCCCACTCCCATTTCCACTCCCCCAACCGCTCCCAACCCCCCCATCCCTCCCTCTCCCCCTCCCCCTCCCCCTCCCACTCCTCCTGCTCCATCCCCTACACCTCTAGAAGGATCACCTTTAAACGGATCACCTCTAAACGAATCACCTCTATTCGCCTCACCACCTCGACTCAGCTCAGGCTGCACCCACCGCTCTCGTCTCGATAGGCTGCGAGACCCAAATCGTGCCACGCCGCGCCCAGGTGTACCTCCCCCTCCAGGCGTGCCTCCCCCAGGTGTACCTCCCCCAGGTGTGCTGCGCCCAGGTGTACCTCCCCCAAAAGGTGTACCTCTTCCAGGTGTACCCACCCCAGCTGCACCCGTCCCTGTCACATCCAACCTCCCTGATGCAGACAAAAACGCTGGCATTGGTGATGCCCCCCCTACTCCCCCTGCTTCTCCGGCTCCTCCTCCTGCTGCTGCAGCTGCTCTTTCTGCTGCCGCGCCCAAGTCTACCAACCGTGCCTCTCCCCCTTCTGCTGAACCCGAAGCCATCACTCTTCTCGCCGAACCTAGCTCCGGCGTGCCGAGCCTCCTCGACACAGCCCTCGAGCCAGCTTCGGGAGTGCTGAGCCCCCGCGAGCCAGCCTCGGGAGTCCCAAGCCTCCGTGAACCAGCCTCGGGAGTCCCAAGCCTCCGTGAACCAGCCTCGGGGGTGCCGAGCCTCCTGGAGCCAGCTTCGGAGGAGCTGAGCCTATTAGTGGGAGTGGAAGTGCCAGTGAGCCGGCTGCTATCCCCTACCAGCCTGCCACTGAAAGCAGGCCCTGCAGCAGCAGCTGTAGGTCCCCCCCAAGGGCTATTATGGTAGCACCCACCAGCAATACCACCAGCAGCAGCATTACCAGCGCTGCCAACACCACCATCGGCATCACCAGCAGCACCAGCAGCAGCAGCGGCAGCACCAGCGGTGGCCGCAGCAGCAGCAGCACCCCCTTCCAGCAGCCCTTCACTCCCACTACTCACAGGCATTCTCGCAACAGTCACCTCCCCCACTGCCGCTCCCAGCAGCGCCTGAGACAGCACCCCGTACATCTGGCTCTTACTTAAGTGCTTCATCCACTGCGCATCCCCGGGTCCCGCCAGCCGGATCCGCTCAAACCGGTCCCGCAGCCGCAGCAGCAGCCGCCGCCGCCGCCGCATCTCCGCCGTACCCACGTGCTGAAACTCCCCGCCACCACCACCAGCACCAGCAGCAGTGCCGGTTTCCAAGCCTGTTTCGTCTGAGAGGGTTTTGCGGCGGGCGGCGTGGTAAGCGGGGGAGGCGGAGGAGTAGTGGAAGAGGAAGGCGGAGAGCACGTGGGGACGGAACCAGCGGGCGATGTCGGAGGGATGCACGAGGTCGTCCACTGAGAGTGCCGCCAGGTGCTTGCGCGAACGTAAGGACTTGCGGGCCTTGTCTGTCTGCCACATGCTGTTCAGTTCCCTGCAATTGCAGCGCGTTATGTACCTGTTGGGGGGGGAGGGGAGGAGGGGGAGGGGGAGGGTGGGAAGCGGAGATTTGAGAGGGGTTTGAAGGGATTTCCGCGCCTTGTCTGTCTGCCACATGCTGTTCAGTTCCCTGCAATTGCAGCGCGTTATGTACCTGTTGGGGCGGGGCGGAGGGGGGGGGGGGGGGAGGGGGGGAGGGGAGGGGGAAGGGGAGAGGGAGGGGGGAAGGTTGGGGAAAACGGAAAGTGAATGGTGGGGAGGCGGACCGGAGGAGTAGTGGAAGAGGAAGGTGGAGAGCACGTGCGGGCGGAACCAGCGGGCGATGTCGGAGGGATGCACGAGGTCGTCCACTGAGAGTGCCGCCAGGTGCTTGCGTGAGCGCAGAGACTTGCGCGCCTTGTCGGTCTGCCACATGGAGTTGAGCTCGCGACAGTTGCAGCGGGTGATGTACCTGTTGCAAGGGTGGGGGAGAGGGAGGAGAAGGAGGGGAAGGGGAAAGGAGGTGTCGGAGGGATGCACGAGATTGTCCACTGAGAGGGCTGCCAGGTGCTTGCGCGAGCGCAGAGACTTTCTGGCTTTGTCCGTCTGCCACATGGAGTTGAGCTCGCGGCAGTTGCATCGCGTGATGTACCTGTTGGGGGGGGAGGGGAGGAGGGGGAGGGGGAGGGTGGGAAGCGGAGATTTGAGAGGGGTTTGAAGGGATTTCCGCGCCTTGTCGGTCTGCCACATGCTGCTGAGCTCGCAGCAGTTGCACCGCGTGATGTACCTGTTGGGGGGGGTGTGGAAGTGGAGGGAACAAGGAAGGAGAGGATGAGAAGTGGGGAACTTGCGGGCCTTGTCGCTTTGCCACAAGCTGTTGAGATTGCAGTGCGTGATGTACCTGTTGGGGGGGGTGTGGAAGTGGAGGGAACAAGGAAGGAGAGGATGAGAAGTGGGGAACTTGCGGGCCTTGTCGCTTTGCCACAAGCTGTTGAGATTGCAGTGCGTGATGTACCTGTTGGGGGGGGTGTGGAAGTGGAGGGAACAAGGAAGTCGAGGAAAAGGTGCGTGGGCAGGAACAAAAAGGCAGCTATTAAAGTTTAGAGTTAAGGGCTGTGAAATGCAACAAAAAAAAACAACAACAACAACAACAAAAAAACAGCAACAACAACAACTTACCAGTTGACGAGCTCGTAGCAGAGGATGAGGAGCGTGGGGAGGAAGACGAGAGCAAAGGAGAAGGCAAAGAGGACGTTGGCCCCGGTGGTGATGCCAATGTAGTTAAAGCCCGTGAGCGCCACCGTGAACAGCAGCTCTCACCAGCTGATCTGGTGAAAGCTTGCCGCAGAGAATAAGGAGCATGGGCAGGAATGGAAGGGCAAACGATGTAATTTTCATATATATATATATATATATATATATTTTTTTTTTTTTTTTTTGGTAAAAGAAGGAAGACCGTACCAGTTGACGAGCTCGTAGCAGAGGATGAGGAGCGTGGGGAGGAAGACGAGAGCAAAGGAGAAGGCAAAGAGGACGTTGGCCCCGGTGGTGATGCCAATGTAGTTAAAGCCCGTGAGCGCCACCGTGAAGAGCAGCTCTGCGAGTGCGAGCAGCGAGTTGAGCACGTCGTGCGAGAAGGCTGCGAAGGGGGATGCGCCGTACTGTAGGCCGATGCGAATGGCTTGCAGGGGCAGGGTCACTGATACCTGAATTGGGGGGAGGAGGGGAGGGGAGGGGAGGGGTGGGGAGGGGAGGGGGGTGGATCAGGCAAAAGGACTGAGGAAGAGGAGAGCGGGATGTCCCGTTCCGCAGGGTGGCTGTTTGGCTATTCTTGAGGGGCCTCAGAAGTTAAGTTAAAGCCCGTGAGCGCCACCGTGAAGAGCAGCTCCGCGAGTGCGGGCAGCGAGTTGAGCACATCGTGCGAGAAGGCTGCGAAGGGAGAGGCTCCATATTGTAGGCCGATGCGAATGGCCTGGAGAGGGAGGGTCACTGATACCTGATTGGGGGAGGGGATGGCAAGATGGAAAAGGAAGGAGGCGGGAAGGGAAGGGCAGCGAGCAGCGAGTTGAGCACGTCGTGCGAGAAGGCTGCAAAGGGGGATGCGCCGTACTGCAGGCCGATGCGAATGGCTTGCAGAGGGAGAGTCACTGATACCTGATGAGGTGGGGGGAGATAGTGGGGGAGCAAGTGAGGAAGGGGGGGGGGGGGGAAGAGGAGAGTGTTGGCGGAGTGGGGAAGTGGAATCTTCGAACTGTGTCACTACTGCAATGAAGTAGAGAAGAGTTGTTATGCCCACCTGCGTCACTACACGCGTGCATACCTGCGTCTGGGGTGACTGCACGCCAAAGACGGTGATGGAGACGAGGATGATGCGACGGGCATAGCAGGTGAGGTGCCACCAGAAGTAGTCGTACTCGTACCTGTGCCATGCCATGCCATGCCATGCCATGCCATGCCATGCCATGCAATGCAATGCAATGCAATGCAATGCAACGCAATGCAATGCACCACACATCACATGCCATGCCATGCCATGCCATGCCATGCCATGCCATGCAATGCAATGCAATGCAATGCAATGCACCACACATCACATGCCATGCCATGCCATGCACCACACCCGTGCAGGAGGGTAGGAAAACACAAATCACATGCCATGAGGTGCCATGCACCATGCAATGCAGCTCACACGTGAGGGGAACGTAGTGCATGCCTGCAATGCTATGCAACACCCATCATGTGTCACTCACCGGCTGACCATCCACCCCCATCGCATCTTGTACGTATGACTCGCCAGCAAGCCTTTCGACTTCCCCAGCCACAGCACCAGCGCATAGCACACCGGCGCACCCGCCACATACACCACCGCAATCACCACCGACAGCGCAAACACCACCGTATGCGTCTCCGAAAACCACCCGATGTACGGCGCAGCACCCATCACGTCCGCGCCGTACCAGTGCCGGTAGAACGCCTGGAAACACCGGAAGGTTACAGCTGCGTAGCTCAGATCGAGCCAGTTGGTCACCCCGTGGATCAGAGTGTTCTCGTACTTGTCAAACATCTCGCGCTTTGTCGTCACGTGCCCGCCCAAGTCGTCTGCCCGAGAGCCGATGCCGCTTGGAGCTCGCGAGAAACTGGTGCCGTTGGTATCGGTGCGGAGAGAGGGAGCAGACGCAGCAGCAGAAGCAGCAGCAGCAGCGGAGGCGGCGGCCGAAGGGGTGAAGCTGGTGGTGCTGGTGATGGGGTGGTTCTTGGGGGTGCCGTAGATTCGGGTGATGGTGTGGGAGTAGAGGCGGTGTGTGAGGTAGAGGCATGCGTAAACGAGGACGCCTAAAACGGGGATGACCATGGTGACTGCCCACTCCTGCACGAATGAGTAGGTGACTGTGCAGCCTGGCCCGATCACGTCCTGTGGATTGGAGGGGAATATGGGCAGATGGATGAGGTGAGAAGTGATCATGGGAACGGAGTTTGGTGTGGTTATGGGGATGACCATCGTGACTGCCCACTGCTGCACAAAGGAGTACAACCTGCCCATTATGACTGTGCAGCCTGGCCCAATGATGCCCTGAGGATGGGGGAAGGGATGAGCCATACAACGACAACACCTGGGTCGAGAGCGGTGCTTACCGGTACGAAGAGCGCGATCTGGAAGTACTGAATAATGGTGTTCACCCAGGAGGGCAGCGGGAGGTTGTACGACCCGATAAACGTCAGCATCTGCAGCTCTATAGCGAGTATAGCAATGGTGTGAAACGAGTCCGACAAAATCCCCATGGCCACCCAGGCGAGCACGATGAGCAGAAGCAGCAGCGGGAAGAGGCGCTGGAAGGTGGGCGCGCACTGGTAGCAGAACTTGAGCACTGAGTAGTATCCGGGGGAGCAGCTAGAGCAGAGCCGATTCTCGTTGTATCCCACCTTGCACTGCTGCTGGTCCAGAGTGGAATTTGCTGCCGCCTGCTGCTGCTGCTGCTGCTGCTGCTGCTGCTGCTGCTGCTGCTGCTGCTGCTGCTGCTGCTGCGTTTGGGTGGTATTTACAGTGGGAGCGGTGGGAAAAGAGGAGGAGGAGGAGGAGGGGTAGACCAAGCCTGCGCATCCATCTAACACGTCGCAGGCATACACAGCAGGGATGCCAGAGCTGATACTGTTGAAGTCAAACCAGAACCCCTCCTCTACTGTCATATTCCCTTGCTCGCACGTCACCGCTAGCGTGTCTTTAAGAACGTCGCGGGTCATCGGGCAGGGTAAACAATCGGTGAGGGATGCTGTGCCCGGGAAAAAACTAAAGCTGCCCGGCGGGCAGAACTCCGCGCCCCGCCCTGACCCGCACCAGCTCCCGATTGGGCAGACCTCGCAGGTCATCCCCGGGCGGGTGTAAAACTGCCCGGGCGGGCAGAAGACGATCTCAACCGTCCGTGCGATCGGCGGAAACGCATCCAACGACGAGGAGACCGACAGCGTAAGCGAGAGATTCCCGGATTCGGGTGGTTCGACGATGGAAACGGGGGGGATGGTGGCGCGGCCGTTGACTGCTATGGCCTGTAGGAGGCCGCTGATGGAAGGAGTGGGGAGGACGGAGGCCTTGGCTCGGAAGTCGTTGACTGGGATGAGGCCTGCTGCGTCCAGCACCGTGACGTGCAGCCCTGTCACTGGGTTGGCCCTGTCTCCCTTCACCTGGAATGGCGTGGTGCTTCCAGCTGCGTCGTTCTGCCCTGACCACCTGTGGGGAGGGGATCAGCAGAACAGGGGGGTGGAGGAGGCATGAGAAAGGGGAGACGGGGAGTGAGCGGGATGGAGAGAGGGAGTGGGGAGGATGGAGGCTTTGGCGCAGAAGTCGTTGACTGGGATGAGGCCTGCTGCGTCCAGCACCGTGACGTGCAGCCCTGTCACTGGGTTGGCCCGATCGCCCTTCACCTGGAATGTTGTTGTTGAGCCTGCAGGTGAGTCGTTCTGGCCTGACCACCTGTGGGTAAGGGGAAGGTGGCGGGGAACAGGGAAGGGGGAGAGAGGGGTTGAATGAGAAGGGGGGGGACGAGGGGGCTCCATGAAGCACAGAAACATGCAGCCCTGTCACTGGATTGGCGCGATCGCCCTTCACCTGCTGAATGGGCTGGTGCTTCCAGCGTGTGTTTTTTGAGAATTCTCAAAGAACACATAATGGGCTTGTGCTTCCAGCTGAGTCACTCCGCCCTGACCACCTGGGGGGAGAGGGGGGGTAGAGGGGGAGGGGAGAGGGTTTGGGCTGGTAACAAAGGAGGGGGGAAGAGCGGTTGAATGGGACGGGGAAGAAACAGGGAGGTTGAGTGCGGTTCAGTGAGGGTGAGCAGGGGTGTGAGGATGACTGAGACTCACTGGAGGCGGAAGGAGGAAGGGAGGGTGCCGATGGTGTCCTGCTTGTCTTTGCTCTCACACCCCACACACGTCGACCGCATGGCAGGCAGGAACGTCGCGTCAAGAAACGCCGACCCAAGCCCGCCCGCCGCCATCGCAATCCCCCCTGCCCCTCCCCCTCCTGCACCCACCCCACTTCCCCTTCCCCCAGCACCACTGCCACCACCAGCACCACTAGCACTGCCACCGCTGGCAAGAGCCGGGATGCTGCCGTTACCAGTGACTCTGTTGCGGTAGAACGACAGACCAGACACGTTCAGAGGCAGCAGCCCGCCACTCACACTCACACCCCCATCACTGCTGCCGCTGCCGCTGCCGCTGCTGCCGCTGGCACTGCTGTTGGTGTTGGTGTTACCATTACCGTTGGCGCTAGCTGCACCAGCAGTGGCATTGCCAGCAACACCAAGGTTACTTCCCGCCTGCAGCAACCCTGCAATATCAGACACCATAACCACAGCCCCCACCGCTGCCTTGCTAAACCCCATTCCCCCCGCCCCCCCCACTTCCTCCACTTCCCCCTACCCCCCCCGTTCCCCCAGCTCCCCCTCTTTCCTCACCCCCACCCGCTCCTCCTCCCGAACCTCCCCCCATGCCTCCCCGATCCAGGTACACAGCGGATCCGTCCGAGCCTGCCTCGTTGCTTCGGAAAGCGCAATCACGCAGGTCCCCGTGCGCGTAGTCGAGAACTAGGATCGCGCCACCTGTCCCCGTCGCCGCCCGGTTGGACTCGAAGATCGAATCGGAGATCTGCAGGGACGTGTTGCCGGCCACAAAGATTGCCCCGCCTGCTTCTTGTGCCTGGTTGTTTGAAAAAAAGGGTGCTTGTGGTGTGGCTGCTGGGTCAGCAGCAGCAGATGCTGTAGCAGAAGCAGCTGTGACTGTAGCACTCTCATCATAACCACCACCAGCAGCAGCAGCAGCAGCATTGCCATCAGCAACACCAGCAGCGCCACCAGCAGCAGCATAAGCAGCAGCAACAGCAGCATCATCCACCCGCGAGCTAACACTCAGCGAGCTCTCCGCATCACAGAAAATCGCACCTCCTCTATGCCCCGTGTTCCCCTCAAACCCCACTCCACCCCCCACCACCACTACGGTCGAATCCGTGGCAAAAATCGCCCCTCCATCCCCCACGTCCATCGTGCTTCCCCCCGCATTCCCCCGAAAGAGAACCGACCCATAGAACGACCCCACTGCCTGCCCCTGCAGCACCACCGCATGCTGCGAGTTCCCTTCAAACACTGTGGGCGTTTTGCTGCCCACCCGCACAGCGACCAGCAGCCTGACTCCCCCTTCGGCGAGAATGGCCCCGCCGCGTGCGGCAGTGTTGGCACGCAGGGAGGAGGCGAGCAGCGAGAGGCGCGCGTTCTGAATGCAGTAGAGCGCCCCGCCCTGGATGGTGGCTGTGTTGCGTGCGATGACTGACGAGGAGATGTGTACCTGGGATAATAAGTATGTGAGGAGGTTGATGAGAATGGGAGGTGAGAACAGTGGGAGGGGGGGGCTAGCAGCGTGAGGCGCGCGTTCTGAATGCAGTAGAGCGCCCCGCCCTGGATGGTGGCTGTGTTGCGTGCGATGACTGACGAGAAGATGTGTACCTGGGATAATAAGTATGTGAGGAGGGTGATGAGAATGGGAGGTGAGAACAGTGGGAGGGGGGGGCTAGCAGCGTGAGGCGCGCGTTCTGAATGCAGTAGAGCGCCCCGCCCTGGATGGTGGCTGTGTTGCGTGAAATGACAGAGGAGGAGATGTGCACCTGAGGTAAATGGCACGGGAGGTATGCACACAGTGAGACAAGAGATTGAGAGGGGATGTGTGCGTTCTGAATGCAGTAGAGGGCTCCGCCCTGGATGGTGGCGGTGTTGCGGGCGATGACTGATGAGGAGATGTGTACCTGGTGGTGTGCATGGAAAAAGGGGGTCAGCACAGCAGGAGAAGTGTGGACAGCGAGAAAGGCACACAGAGGCACGCGTTCTGAATGCAGTAGAGCGTTCTGCCTTGGAGGGTGGCGGTGTTGCAGGAAATGACTGATGAGGAGATGAACACCTGGTGAGATGGGGGGAGTATGTGAGGGGGAGATGGGCATGGGAGGAGCGGGGAAAGGAGGTGAGGACAGTGGGAAGGAGTGGAGGTGTGTGCGCTTTGAATGCAGTAATAAAAGGGAGTCCGAGATGACCAGCCAGGTTTGCCCCCACCCTCGTTGCACCCCTGGTTGGACGTGTCGTTGCAGGATGTGAGACTGAGAGACCTGCACTGCATTGCACACACCTGGGAGTCCATCTCGGCCCAGAGCATGCCGCCATCCATGGCCGAGTTGTTGAAGAGATGGGAATCCGTGATGGACAAGCGGGTCTCTCCCGTGGCTTGGATGGCGCCGCCCTTGTTGCCGCCCTGGTTGGACGTGACGTTGCTGGATGTGATTGTAACGGAGGCCAGCTCGCTCATGGAGATGCACCCTCCCCCGGATGGCGCGCTGCAAGATAAGAAGAGGAGGGAGAAAGGGAGAGCAAAACAGGGAGGGCGAAAGAAATAGGAAGAGAGAAATTCTTATAAAAACGTCACATCACCTGCTTCTCTCCTCCCAAGCACAGCCCCCCGCCTCACTCAGTGCACAACCTCAGTCTCTCCTCACCTGTTCCCGGTGCACTCAGACCGTGCCATCTGCAGCTGTGCGAACTCCTCCAGCATCACACCGCCTCCGTTGCTGGCCTGCCCGCCCTCCAACCAACCAAGCAGCTCTTGACTCACCCGAGCCACCTCCCAAGCACAGCCCCCAGCCTCTTCTCACCTGTTCCCAGTGCACTCGGATCGTGCCATCTGCAGCTGTGCGAACTCCTCCAGCATCACACCGCCTCCGTTGCTGGCCTGCCCGCCCTCCAACCAACCAAGCAGCTCTTGACTCACCCGAGCCACCTCCCAAGCACAGCCCCCAGCCTCTTCTCACCTGTTCCCAGTGCACTCGGATCGTGCCATCTGCAGCTGTGCGAACTCCTCCAGCATCACACCGCCTCCGTTGCTGGCCTGCCCGCCCTCCAACCAACCAAGCAGCTCTTGACTCACCCGAGCCACCTCCCAAGCACAGCCCCCAGCCTCTTCTCACCTGTTCCCAGTGCACTCGGATCGTGCCATCTGCAGCTGTGCGAACTCCTCCAGCATCACACCGCCTCCGTTGCTGGCCTGCCCGCCCTCCAGGCGGCACCCCATGAGGGCAGCGCACGCCGCCAAGCCCAGATGCAGCGCTGCTCCTCCCAGTGTGGCGCTGTTTTCACCAAAGGTCACGTTTGAGAAGTGTGCTGTGGGGAGGGTGCTGCTGCTGCTGCCGGTGGTGGTGGTGGTGTTGTCGCTGGGAGGAGAAGTTGGGTGCGAAACTGCCGAGGTAGGGGAGGGAGAGAAGAGAGAGGCAGGGAGAGATAGAGGGAAGGAGATGCGTGGGAGAGAGAAAGGGAAAAGGAAAAGAGTGACCGATGGCACGTGGCATGCCGTTCAACGGTTTAACTATGTTGAGTTTACTTTTGAGAATTCTCAGCATAGTAAACTAGTAAACTCAACATAGAAAAACAAAAGAATGACCGATGGCACGTGACATGCCGTTCAACGGTTTAACTCCAACCCACCTGCCACAGCACCGCGCTTCACAACAGCATGGTTGCGGTGGAAGGTGGTGTGGGCGAGGGTGAGGCGAACAATAGCATCACAACATTTCCCTTAAAAGACAACCCACCCCCTTCCAGTCAACCACCCCCTTCCAGTCAACCACCCCCTTCCAGTCAACCATCCCCTTCCAGTCAACCATCCCCTTCCAGTCAACCACCCCCTTCCAGTCAACCATCCCCTTCCAGTCAACCATCCCCTTCCAGTCAACCATCCCCTTCCAGTCAACCATCCCCTTCCAGTCAACCACCCCCTTCCAGTCAACCATCCCCTTCCAGTCAACCATCCCCTTCCAGTCAACCACCCCCTTCCAGTCAACCATCCCCTTCCAGTCAACCATCCCCTTCCAGTCAACCATCCCCTTCCAGTCAACCATCCCCTTCCAGTCAACCATCCCCTTCCAGTCAACCATCCCCTTCCAGTCAACCATCCCCTTCCAGTCAACCATCCCCTTCCAGTCAACCATCCCCTTCCAGTCAACCATCCCCTTCCAGTCAACCATCCCCTTCCAGTCAACCATCCCCTTCCAGTCAACCATCCCCTTCCAGTCAACCACCCCCTTCCAGTCAACCATCCCCTTCCAGTCAACCCACCTGCAACAGCACCACCCTTGACAAGAGCATGGTTGCGGTGGAAGGTGGTGTGGGCGACGGAGGCCCTAGCATCCGCATTCCACCATTCCCCTCCCAGTCAACCAAGTCAACCCAGTCAACCCACCAGCAACAGCACCGCCCTTGACAAGAGCATGGTTGTGGTGGAAGGTGGTGTGGGCGAGAGTGAGGCGAGCAGAGGCAGCAGAGATGGCTCCCCCCTTGGATGCCGGTGCTGTGTTGCCCTCAAATCGACTCCCCTCCACCTCCACTGCTCCCTCCGTTCCCTGTTGCACGGGCGAGGGGAGAGAGGAGAGAGGAGAGAGGAGAGAGGAGAGAGGAGAGAGGAGAGAGGAGAGAAGGAGAGAGGAGAGAAGGGAGAGGAGAGGGGAGGGAGGAGAGAGGAGATAGAAGCATGCGGGAAATGAAGAGGGCGGGTCAAGGCGCGCATGGAACAGACACGCATCCCTTTCAATTCAAGAACCCAGAGACAGGTCATGTGACCACCCCGTTTTATACGTTGACTTGATTGACTCGGTTGACTCACCTCGAGCACAACGATCGCGCCCCCCTCCCCAGAGATGGCGGTGTTGTTGCGAAACACACACCCGCGCACCACCGTGGCCATCAGCCCTGCTGTGGCGATCGCCCCCCCGTCCTGCAGCACGGTGTTGTGTGCGAAAAGAGAATCCTCTATGGTGGTGCTCATGGTGGCGTAGTCTGGGGGGGGGCGGGGGAGGGCAGAGGTGGAAACGATTGGGGAGATGGGAAATGGGAGATGGAAGAGGGGACATGGGAAATAGGGATCAGCGCTATGCTGTGCGCGAAGAGACAGCCGTTTGTGGTGGTGCTCCTGGTGGCGTGGTCTGGGGGGAAGAGGTGGGAGAGGGGAGTGGAGAGAGGTTAAGATTGGGAACGAGACAGCCATCTATGGTGGTGCTCCTGGTGGCGTAGTCTTTTGAGAATTCTCAAAAGTCGCACCAATATAACTGGTGGCGTGGTCTGGGCACTATCACACGCCCACCCTTCACATCCCCCCATATACTCGCACACGCCACGCTCACCCCCCCCATATACTCACATCACACACCCCCCCACGCTCTCACACCTCCCATTTACTCACACAACCCCCCACGCTCACATCTCCCATATACTTGCACGCGCCTCCATATCTGAACCTCCTGCCAGAACCTCATGATTGTGTCTCGTTCCGCTCATGCCAGAACCTCCTCCTCACAATCACATGCCCCTCAAAGTTCCCCACCGCTCCCCATTGCATGCAAACGCATTTTCCCATCCTCATACCCCCCCCCGCCCGTATACTCACACGCGCCTCCATATCTGAACTGCGCCTCGTTCCTCTCATGCCGCGACCGCCTCACAGTCACATGGCCCTCAAAGTACCCCACCGCTCCGAAATCCGCCACATTCCTCTCAAACGCACACTCCTCCATCACCAGCGGAATCACCACGTCCCGCCTCGTCCACTGCTGATTAATCACCCCTCCCTGGCTCAGCGTCCCGTACAAATGCCCATACGCAATATTCTCCCGAAAAGTCGAGTTAAAAATCCCCATTTCTGTATCCATGATAGCCATCGCGCCCCCAAACCCAACCATAGTGCTGTTAACCCAGTTTTTCTCCATCAGAGTTCCCCGAATGGTGATGTTCCCGCCGCGGGACGACACCGCTCCCCCGCCGCCGCCAGTATTATCGTACGCGGAGCACAAGCGGAAAGTGGAGGAGTCTATAGTGAGGTTTCCGGGGTCGAGAGCGTCGAGACCGCCCCCGTCCATAACCGCGAGGCAGCGGGAGAAGGTACAGTTTTGGATGGTGAAAGAGGCGGTTGCATTGAGTGCAACCCCACCGCCGTTCACCTTGCTGTAAATATCCCCTTCCTTAGATACATCCGCGTTGCACCGGAGGAACGAGGAGGAGGAGATGGAGACGAGCGGGGAGGAATCGTCCGAGAAGCATCCTCCCCGCATGGCCCGCGAGTCGCGGAACTCGCAGCTCGATACAGTCACGTTGGAGGAAGAAGACGAGACCGCGCCGCCCAGGTTCTGCGCGTAGCAGCCCGAGAAGCGGACTGCTGTCAGCGCGGCGTTGGACGAGACGATGGTGAGGCCGCCGCCATTGGTGGATGAGGAGATGCAGTCGCGAACGGACGAATCGGAGACCTCCACGTGGGCGACGCTGTATAGAGCAACGGCTCCTCCTCCTTTGCCAATGGTTTCAGCTGCACCACCAGCAGCACCAGCACCACCGGCGCCAGCACCACCGGCACCACCAGCAGCGCCAGCAGTGGCAGTGGGGCCGCCAAGAGCCTTACAGCCTTCAAAGCGAGAGCCAGAGATGGTAACGTTGGGGGAATCAACAGCAAAGATTGCCCCACCACCGTCAGCAGCAGTGCAGTTGAGGAACGAGGAGTTTGTCACCTCCACTGCCTGCCCCTGCACCAGCAGACAACCCCCGCTTCCTGCGCTGCCACCAGCACTGCTGCTGCTGCTGTTGCTGCCAGTGCCAGCACTGCTGGTGATTTCTGATCTGCCATTGGCCACTACCACTCCCCGCAACACCAGCTTCGCCTGCTGCTCACTGCAAATGCTCCCGCCCCCTGCTCCAGTGCTGGAAGCTGCACACGTGGCAGTTAAACACGACCCGCTGCTGCTGTTGCTGCCGTTGCTGCTCTCACAGCTGATGACCGGAGGGGCGGAGGTGTCACCAGTAGCAGTGGCAGCAGTGATGGTGAGGGGAAGACCCCCCAGTTGCAAGCCGAGGGGAGGGACAGCGTGAGTGCCAGGGGACAGGAGGATGGTTCCGCCTGTAGGAGGGATACTGGCGGGGTGGGGAGGGGGATGGAGATGGGGAAAGGGTGTGGGGAAGGGTGTGGGGAAGGGTGTGGGGGAGGGGATGGGGGAAGTGAGGTGAGGCAGCAGTGATGGTGAGGGGAAGACCACCCAGTTGCAAGCCGAGGGGTGGGACAGCGTGAGTGCCAGGGGACAGGAGGATGGTTCCGCCTGTAGGAGGGATACTGGTGCGTGGGGTTGGGGAAGGGTACGGGGAAGGGTATGAGGCGGTAGTGATGGTGAGGGGAAGACCCCCCTAGTTGCAGGCCGACGGGAGGGACAGAGTGCGTGCCTGGGGACAGGGGGATGGTACCACCGTGCCACCTGCAAGAGGATGCTGGTGGGGATGGGGAAGTGGATGGGGAAGGGAAGGGAGAGTGGAGGGGTGAAAGGTTGACGGTACAGGGATGAAGACTGTGTGTATGGCGCAGTGATTGGAGTGAGTGTGGGGGAGGGTGGGCATGGTGAGGGGAAGACCCCCCAGTTGCAGGCCGAAGGGAGGGACAGGGTGAGTGCCTGGAGAGAGAAGGATGGTGGAACCTGTTGGGGGGGATGCTGGTGGGGGTGGGGAGGGAAGAGAAGGGAGAGTGGAGGGGTGAAATGTTGAGGTGGTGGGGACAGGGAATTTGGGGTGAGTGTGGGGGAAAGCGAGAGTGGTGTAGTAGGTATGGGGCAGTGAAAGGATTCATAAGGGGCGTGACTGGAGAAAGGACAGAAGGAAGGAAGGGCGAAGGGAGGGACGGACGGGCGGAGGGCGAATGGAGGGAGGGGCAGAGGGAGGGAAGGAGGAGTTGGGGAAGCAGGGAGGCAAGGGAGAAAGGGGGGAGCGGAGGCTTGGAGATAGAGACAGGGGACTTACATGGTAAGAGCCTGTTCGATTGTGCCTGAAAGACATTGGGCGGACGCAAGGCAGGGAAGACAAGACATGTGACAAGGGAAGAGCACGGAAGGAAGAGGGGTCAGTGTGGGAACGGAGCAAAAGAGAGCAAGATTCGGTTTTAGGAAAATATCACAAGTGAATTCAAGAAAGCGAGAAAGAGGTGACTGAACGAACAAACGGAGGGCCATGGATCAAATCTCACAGACACTTTACAATATAGTTTCTAGCAAACTCTCCAGCAGCTCACCACAGGGATTGCCGGAGTCCCCACAGCATTGAGCGGCCTGGCTGCTGGCTGTCGCGTCCACATGCACCTCCGGCAGCAGCGGGCACGCGGCTGGTGGATAAAGGAGTGGGAAGGGATGCGAAGCGGTGGAGAGGGACGGAAAGAGGGGGAGGGGAGAGTGGGGAAAGGGAGGGAAAGGGAAGGGAGGGAGGGCGTGGGGGGGAAGAAGTGGGACGGAGGGAGGGGAGGGAAACGGGATGGGAAGAGCGAGAACGAGGGGAACAACGAGGGAAAGGGAAGGAGGGGGTTGGGGAAAAAGGCAAAGGGAGGGGAAGGGAGAGGGTGAGGGAGAAGGTGGATGACAGTAGGGTGAGAAAGGGATGGCAAGAAAGGAATGTCTGTAGACAGACTAGCAGCAGCCACATAAAACCTGAGCTGGAAACCTTCCCATATCCCATATCGATCCTGAACCGCCGGGAACCTTTCCATATCAATCCTGAACCGCCGGGAACCTTTCCATATCAATCCTGAACCGCCGGGAACCTTTCCATATCAATCCTGAACCGCCGGGAACCTTTCCATATCAATCCTGAACCGCCGGGAACCTTTCCATATCAATCCTGAACCGCCGGGAACTTTTCCATATCAATCTTGAGCCGAAGCTCCTGGAATACCTTTTGAGAATTCTCAAAAGTGACCCCAACTTAATCTAGAACCGAAAGCTCCGGGCATACCTTCTGCTTGACCAACTGCCAGTGCCAGCAGCAGCAGAAGCAGCAACGGTACCATCAGGCACGTCAGGAGCTCCGGAAAACGCGGTAGCTTCTGTCGCTGTGAGTCGCAGCGAGTGCGCATGCTTTCAGGTCGATTCGCTCCGCGACAGCAACGGTAACTCAAAGGCTGTCGCCGTGAATCGCGGGGAGATAGACAGGGTGAAGCACGGCTGGAAGCTACGTCGGCGACTGTTGCGTGTAACATAGTCGTCGTGTGGCTCCGCGATACCCGCTGGATCAATCCCAGATTTCACGCGGAAAATACCACGAACCCTACAGGATCGTCCAATGGCGAGACTATGAAGTGCTGGTTCTTACGCCACGTGGCGAGCTCTTAGAACGAGAGAATTATGGCTAACCGCGCAGGATATAAACAGCTTTGGAAAGAGAGGATCTTTCCGTCATTATAGCCAGCGCCGTTACTATCCAGTAGTTTATGAAGAGACTCGTTGTGTTCGCCCGCCATTACTCGACTTTTCGTCATCACCAAAGCATCCAGGAGTTCTAAGAGCAATCCGTGGCATTCCCTGGCAATCCTTGGCGTTATGTCACTGATGCACCAGTGGTCTTCACGCTTTTGAAGGAACTAACGTTACTCGGGCTTCACTGTCAAGGAAGAAATAGCTTATTGCCGTGCTCTAAATGACAATGCGAAGACTTGAGCTTGAGCTTTCATTTTTTGTCGACTCAGAAAACATAATATTACACGAATTATACGCAATTTGTGGGAACGAAAGGCGAGATTACGGCACTATGTACAAGCATTCGCTTTCTATTTATATCGCACCACGTGAACGATTGCAATGCTGCGCGAGCTATTTATCGGGATTGTTGATGCAAGATTGTGATATCGTTCCTGTTCCAGCCATGGGTCTCCCATTGCTGTGTTCTTTAAGCTAAGAAAGCAAGGCAGACTGGAGAAAAAGACGAGCTAACGTAGTTTTGATGGAGAGATTTTCACCATTGGGAAAACTGGCATCAGGCGGAAGGAAGTGGCACGGTACAGGATGGCTGTCCCAATGCGGAGGGGAAAGGGCCGCGGTGGAGCGAATTACCCCAAAAAGTGCACGATTACAACATGGTAGCGAAACAGATAGCCCAAGTAGCGGTAACACATTCTCGGAAGCGAATGTCTCTTTTACTGAAATGTTTATTCCCCCTCCAGAGGTGATGTGGGACCATAACTGATAACGGGCGTTTTATTCCATTTCTGCCAACCGTTTCGAGTTGTTTGTCAACGACAAAGCACGAGGCTGGTGAAACTGCCCGCTCTGGGTTCCTCTTTCCTCCACAGCACCTTCCTAAGGATGTGGTGCAGATCGCTCCGATCTCACGCAATCGGTGGTCGATTAGATCAGATCGGAATCGATCGGGTGTGATTGCCCCGATCTGACGCAATCATCGATCGCATCCCGCGCCGCGCGATCTGACGCATTTTTTTCTACGAAACAAGACGGAGCCTCAACCGCGCCTTCCAGGCGAGCTGTATGTTCCTTCCACCTCAAAGTTGGCGAAGCTAAGCGACCATTTGTATCGTACATTTACAGGGTAGCCCCATTACTAGTTCGACTGTCAAGATATGTTCTGTAGCAGCGAGCAAAATCGAACCTCAACGACTGTAGTTACAAATCGAGTAATTTCGCCAACATACCCGATCTGTCGATCGCAAACGGTTGCAATCGATTGCATCAGATCGAGACAATCGATCTCGATCGATTGCAATCTCGATCTCGATCGACAGATTGCCCCCGATTGCCCAAAAGTACCTCCTAGACCTTCTCGGAATTTGTGGATTGCGAGATCGAGGCAATAAACCTCAGATCGCCCCGATATGCACCACGTCCTAAACCCTCCACCGTGCCTCGCCTAACAAATTTGTCGCGAGTCTTCCATCACATGGCTTCCGTCCGTTACTGCACCCAACTGCCCAGCACACCGAAAACTAGCGTGTCGCTGACTCGCGGACAAAGTGCTATAGATTCGTTTTTAACGGGTGACCCGTTACAAGGTCATCACCGTCATCAGCGTGTTCCAGCACAGCAGGTGTTTTGCATTTGAATTGCAGTGGTGCTATTTTCATGGCCGCTTCTGCCAAATCCTAAATTTTGCTAAAAAGCACGCACTGTGAACATTATGAGCAACTTCAGCAAAGCATCATCAATCAAAGTTAGTCTAAGCAAACATGCAAAATGGAAACAATAAAGAAGCCTACTTGGATTGTCAAGTCATTATCGTTAAAACAAACATAGCGAATGGCCATAGGTCAGTCAAAGAGCCTCTCCGCCATTGGACGAAACATAGTGCATGGGTAAGTTGTTAGAAAGGCACATCTTCCAGGTCACAACTCCTGCTTGTGTACCCTGCATGACCTGGACACGGAATTCAAGAAAGTGTAAGAGATATTAGGATGGCAAAGCATGCCGTGGTTCAGTCCCTAGAAAGGGAAACTTGTAGAATGGAGAGCATAACGGTGCGTATGGAGGAATTGCTTGCTTGTTACACACAGAAACAATTTTGCCACAATCCTCACCTGACATTGCTGGCCGCCTTGTTTTGTTGTTGTTGCTGCTGCTGCTGTGGCTGTGGTGATTGCGGCTTCTGCTTGCACAGCTGCCTGAAGTTTCCACCAGGGCTTGATGAAGGATGAACACTGAACTGCCACATTGGTCGCTTCTGCAGCTGCTGCTGCTGATGCTGCTGCTTCCTGTGGTGTGGCTGCTTCTGCTCCTGCTGTCCCTCCTGCTTGTGCTTCTGTGGCTGTGTCTGCTCTTTCCCCAGAGCCTGCTTCTCATTCTTATTTTTCTCTCCAAAATCATGACTATTTGTAACCTTATAAGCCGCTTCCTCCTCACCACCTGTGCTCTTTTCTTCGCAATCCGCTTTCTCACTTGATTCCACCCTCTTGTCTACTTTCGCTTCCACCTGCTCGTCCTCCTGTAGTTGTCTCCTCCTCTGCCCGTCTTCCGTCTCATTGTCACCCAATTCTGACTCATCTGGGCAGCTATTATCCCGTTCACTAAACCTGGAAGGTTTCTGCCCGCTCGGACGCTGACCTTCTTGAAACAATGCCACGTCATCATAGGATTTCCGTAGGACCGTTTCAGCTCCCCCCCGGCGCTGATTCGTCCACTTCTGCTGCCACGCCGCCTGCTGCTGCTCCTGCTGATGCTGCTCGGCTACTGGCTCCAGAAGCGGGATGATCTTCGCCGTCCATTCCTTCGTATCCAACGGCCCATCCTCGTTCGCACGTTTCACAACGTCCAACCCACCAGAGGCGACGATGTACGAAGCGGACAAACGATGCGAGCTCAGCGCAAACAACGCCCACGCCGTCCGCCGCGAAACGCGCTCCTGCAGGCTGATATCTGCCGGCCCGCACAGGAGGAGATCTAGCAGCGGCGGCACAGCTCCCGTACCAGCAATCATTATTTTATTTTCGTCGTTATCCTCCGCGATCGAGCCCAGCGCAAATGCCGCTTTTTCCTGTACCAGCAGCGAGCCTTCTCGTAACGCTTCTGTCAATATCGGGATCGCGCCGGCTCGCGCCGCGGCGTCTTGGTTCTCCTTGGCCTTCGCGACGACATGCGCGAGGGCCTCCATCGCCTGTCGCCGGACTTTCGCCTCGCTTGCTGATTGGACAATGGCGACGAGTGACGGGATCGCCTCGCCTGCGACGATCACGGGCGATTTGCTGTCGCAGTCGCTGTCGCAGCCCGTCGCAAGGTTCAGCAGCAGGTTCACCGCGACCGCCTGCGCCTCGGGGTTGCCGCCGCGAAGCATGGCGATTAGCGACGGCACGCACCCCGCCTTGGCGATGACCTGGCAATTAGCGGGAAGCGTGGAGAGCTGCCCCAAAGCGCGCGCCACGAGTAGGTTCAGCGATTCGCGCTGAGGGGGCTCCGGAAGCGGCGGAAGAGGAAGCAACGCCGCCACCGCGCCCCTTCCGCAACTTATCCCCCCTGGTTTTCCCCGTTCCCCACCACTGCTCCCTCCTGTTTTCCCCGTTCCCCGGCTACCCGCGCTCCCCCCTCCGCTTCCCCCGGCGGAAAGCACCCCCCCTCCTTGGAGCCAATCATCGTCGTCTACGCAACCGGGTAACACCGACTCGTCGTCCAATAGGAAGTCGTCTTCAGGCAGCGACAGCAGCACCGACAGAACCGGCACCGCCCCCGCCGCCGCGGCTTGGAGCTTCCCCTCATCCGTTACAATCACATCCATTAGCGAGGCCAGAGTCGCGCGCTTCTCTTCCGCCGATCCTTCCGCCAGTGCGTCCACGAGCCGGCACACGTTGGCGCTCGCCGCAGCGGCGGCGGAGATACTCGACCGGTTGAGCGCGGACGGCAGCGGGGACGACGCGCGGGGGCGCCGCGGGGAGAACATCCTCGGCGCGGCGAACGCGGCGGCAGCGGCGGCGGCGGCGGCGGTCGCGGGGCTGAGCGGACGAGGCGAGACGGCGATCGAGCCGTAGTATGGCTGCATCCTGCCGGAGGAAGCGGAGGAGACGGTGTAGGTTCGGCCCGGGCCCGCGAACCGGCTCCCTCCGCCACTGCCGCCGCCGCCGTTGTTAGCTCCTATCAAGGCGAGTGCCGCGGAGGCCGCAGCATCGGCCGCGCTGCTATCGCGCTCCCTCCGCTCCCCCCCGAGGAGCGCCAGCGGCGGCGCCCCTGTTAATATCCCCGGTCGTTGCCGCCCCGCGGACCCACCCCTCCCGTACAGTCCCCCCGCAGGCGGCCCGCCAAACCCGGAAGCGGCGGAGGCGGAGATCGACCTCGGGGGGATCCCGCGCACCTGCATCTGCTGCCACGTCATCATCCCGGGAGGCCTTGCGGAGTCTTTGGCGGAAAACGTAGCGGCGGAGGGGCCGATCATGGGGCTCTGGGGAAACATTTCCGCCACCTGCTGGAGAACCCGCGCGGGCTGTTCCGCCCCGCCGCCGGGGAACATTACCGAGCTTCCGCTTCCGCCGGTGATACCGCTCCCGCTGTACGACTCCAGGAACGTGGAAGGTTCCTTGCTCGACCCACTAGTGTGACTGCACGAGACGGTTCGTAACGGGAAGTGGTTCTGCAGCGTCGGTGGTGGCGCTTGTGACACTAACGAGGTCGACAGCGGCCCGTGGTCGGCGGCGATTTTGGGATTGATTGTATTAGAAGCCTGTCCCAGCAGCATCGAGCAGACAGTGTGACAATGTCGAATTTCCGTCACGCACGCGTCTGCTTTGCGCGCCAGCCCCTTATGATGATGCCCTAGGCTGAAAAACATCCCCGGTATAGTCAGCTTGCACGCTTTCAGCAACGCGATAACGTCTTTAAGCTCCGACGCGAGACGGCGGAGGACGAACGCGGACCGCGGGTCGAAGGAGAGCGAAGGGGCGGAGCTTTTCAGAAGATGGAGGGTCGGCAGCAGCTGTCGCACGCACACCGCGACTTTCTCCACGCTGCTGCGATGCACGTAGAGGTGCGGAGTCGCGGTCAGGCGTGCCACGTGTTCGGCCAGAGAGAGCGCTGACGTCAGATCCGCGCTGGCAAGGATGCTGTACGAGTCAGTAGTTAGAGATGCCGCTGTCGCCGCAATTGCGCTCAAGCTGGGGCTTCCAGGTGGCACGATGGCATTGGCTGGTTCGTTTCGGTCTAATCTGTCCTGTTCGGGATAAACTGTTCCTACAGCCATGTCGCGCGCGTCCGGCTCGAAGCGCCAGCTACCACTAGACTTTGTCGTTGCGATAATAAGCCAGGGGGATCAGGAAATTAGAGAAAAAAAAAAAAAAAAAAAAAAAAAAAAAAAAAAAAAACTTGTTAGAACGCCACTGGGTGGGCAGTCGAAGCGCACACGGCCATGGTCGGAAGAACCAACCACTCACGATTATCGTAGCTTTACGCGATGCTGTATGAGCCAACTAAGGATGTGTGACCCGTAGGGTGATGCCGCGTTGACTAGCTTATTAAACCCTGAAGTATTGCGACTAAAGAAACCAGCAGCACCAGCCCTAAGTTTCAAGTGATAGATAGTAGGATGTTGGTCGCATCGCAAACTTGCGGACTGTCCTAGTGGGACCTACTTCTCCGCTCCGCGCAAGTTTCAAGCACACTCAAATTTGGATAGCACAGAACAGAGAGGCCTAGTAGCAGTAAAGTGGCTTGTGAAGCTTTCGTGCCTCTTAGGTCCCCTAGCAAATTTGCAGCATGGCGGCACGAGGGTCACAAACAGGACTATCTCGCTTCGGCTTGGAGCTTGAAGGCAAGCACGGGACGTGGGATTGTATCGAGGGAATGTACAGACCGGGATAGGGGAAGGGAAAAGGCGGGAGCGGGGTTGGTTGGACCGGAACTGCTAAGATGGAACAGTGGCGTTTCACGGACCCCATAGACCCCCCAAAGCAAGCAAACAAGCACGCCAGGGTGTGTGTGTCCGGCACCTCCTCGCACAAGGGCTAGCAAGCAACTGCATCAGTGAACTGTTCGCTTACAGCCGTACAGAACAAGATCAAAAGCAGGATACTTGTACACGCCTACGTAACAAACTCGTGCTGTGCTGCAGTGATACTGCTGCCATGTCCAAGGGCTAGTCACAAAACCGAGCCCCCTACAATCTCATCCCATCACATGTCACATTTTCGAAGGGATGTGCAATTTCCTACGTGCAAGATGCGAGAAGGCGACACGGTAAAAAAAAGAAATGCGGCTCGTTTCGAAATTCGCGGTTTGCTGACATGGCATGCTTAGCGTCTCCAGTAACCTGGACCTTGGGCCAATGCATGAGTTGGCAGGTTATGGCAGTGACCAGGCTAGCCTCAACTGGAGTGACGTGCAGGGTTCTGGGAGCCAGGTTTGTTTGCCATGTTTACCCTGCTTATCAGAGTTGTTACCAGTTTTGTGATTGCGAATTACAGTAGACAGCTGCCAGTTCAACCGTTTGAATTCTCCTAGTGTGCTACGGAACACACCGAAACTGCCACCACGTCAACCAACAAAAAAATATCCTGAAGTGGATGGAGAATGCGTTCTAAATAAAACCCAATTGGCCAAGGGTGCATTCTTGGCTCGTGTCTGACATGAGGTCAGACACGAAGTGAAGTTGCGGAAGACCCGAAGTGGTTTGGAACTCTGGCAAATCAATGTTCGGAAGACCCGAAGTTGGCCACTTCGGGTCTTCCGAACCTCCATCCAAACCTCCAATTCGTGTCTGACACGAGGTAGGAATACACCCCAAGTCTACTCCCACAAAAGCGACAATATAGATGCTGCAAAACACGCAAGCGCCAAACCCTGGTGTCGGTATCCACCCTTGCCCCCTCACAAAGCATGGCACACTAGTTGTGACCGTGAACATGTGTCGGGCTAAAAAAACACTGGTTGCTTACAGTGGTCGGAAGGAACCCAGTAAATGATGTGAAAACGAAAACACATCAACGGGCAGGGTGAATAGGGTGTAAAACTCTGAACTGGGAGAGATTTCCAAAACATATCGAGAACACCAGCTCCGTGACGTTACGAAATGGTTCGTTGGGGTAGCGAACACTGCGGCCAGACAAGTGAAAATGGTCCTTTTCTGCTAACGGACAACACTTTCGTCCACCGTACATCTGCTGGATCCTCATCCCTAATGCCACCCAAAAATGCAAGGTTTGGATGGGAGCTGGTAACGGCCTTATTCGAGCATTTCTAAAGAAAGAAACGGAGCGTTTTGTTTCGTGAATGTGCAAATAAACAGTCGTATGATATCTAGATTGGTTGATATTTAGATGTGAGAGTAACATATGATCAAGTTACCGGTTTCGCACACCCGTTCCTCGTCATGCTCGTGGTCTGTGTTTGTCCAACTCCAAGGTCACCTCCCCTTGCCCCTGCTGTCACTGCCCCTGTGTGCATATATCCATGGACCCGAGGTTTCCAGAACAGAAGTGTCCTTTATAACCAGCTTAACCGTCTAAAAACTAGCCGAACCATGGGGAACCATGTTTCGGTCGTTGAGAATGACCCTTCAAGAGGCAATGTACACATCCACCCCTCCACTCCACGCCGCTTCATTTGCCCTCCGCCATTCTCCTGCTCTCTTTCCGCTCCGCTCGCCTTCTGCTCTCCTCTGGCTGTCCCCGTTTTCCGCCTATTTTTTTCTTCTTCCCCACAACCTTCCCCTTGCGACTCTCCCCCCTCACCTCCACTCGTGCTAGCCTCCAGCTGTTGCTGCTTGAACTCCCTAGGGCTTCCCTCAGTTTGCCAAGAGAGAGGCTAGGGTTTGGATCCCTTCGACCCAGCCCTCACGCACTCTTTGAAAGTTAGCCAGCTGTACCATTACTACCGTTGGGACCCTCCGTATTATCCGCGGCTTCTTCCTGTAGCGATTTCCAGCTGCAGCTTTTTTTTTTTCGCCTTTTTTTTCCATTTTTTGGGTCGCGGTGTCGATGCTTGTGGTCACTTGAGCTCGAAATGGCGCCTGGTGACGGCTTTGAGTTTGGCGGGGAGAGGGTCGTTGTCGGTGTTAGTAAGGACCCATCGTGTAAAGAAGCCATTAAATGGGCCATTACGAATAAAGTTCGCAGCCCAGACGACATCCTTATATTGCTCCATGTGGTCACTAAGATTCCCAGCCCAAGTAAGCAGTTTTATGGCTCCCTTTCTCCTAAACTGGATGTTTGTTTCCTTAAGTGCGGGTTTCGTAAAGTCTGTGCTTCTATTATTGCTTGCACAACATTAACTAGTATTCTTGTTTCACGGATCAGGTATGGGTGCTTATGGAGGAGCGGGAAGGCAAGTTGCAGGTATTCAAGTCGTTTAGATTAAAACATTATTTCTCGTCCGTTTTTATCAAAATGCAGTCATTACGGCGTTCAAATTGGCAATTTGATCCATTTTGGCATAACTCAGTGCATTGCCGGCGTTAAATACATGCCATATTCGCATGCTCATTCCTCCTGAATATTTTCCAAAGCTCCTTACATGACGTTACACGGCTTCTGCGTGCTTACTGCGCTGGCTTCAATTATCTCTTCTGGTTGGTTCTGGGTGCAGGAGCGGTGGAGATGTATCAGAGCGAGGTCAACAACACCATGTTTGTGCATTATGTCCGCACCATCGTGCAGCCTATGATGCTCTCTCTGAAGAAACTCGTCGATCCCAAGGTATATCGCAGGTTTGCTATCGCATCTGATGTCTCCCGTGGTAGTGATACGAGTGACTGCAGCCATTCTGTTCCGAGTCGCGGTTTTCCTGGACAATGACCTGGTTTTGAAACGAGAGAGGAACAAAGTAGTGTTTATTCATTTTTGGTCGTCCATTCGATACTGCAGATCAAGTTGGAGCTGAAGGTCGGCCGAAACAACTCAAGAGAAAAGGGAATCGTGGAAGAGTCGAGCAAGCTGAAAGCGACGACGCTGGTTCTAGGAACCAATGCGCGAGGAATGTTCAGCATGTAAGCATCGTGCCCGCTGTTTCACTGCTTTTCAAGTTTCCTTCGGGAGCCTCTTTTTAAAAAGATATTCATCTTGGAAAGAGTATCTGGAAGCCGTCTCACGTGCTGATCTGTGTTTGACTTGGCAGGCGGGGCAAGTCATCGAGTACCGGAGCGTACTGCGTTCGTTATAAGCCTCACGGGCTCTCCGTTTTTGTGATTCAAAAGGACAAGGTCGTTCTTTACAAGGAATCGGAAGGCTCGCCCATGTCATCTGCTTCGGGAAGTCCTGCTGGCTCGGGCCGTCTGATGCCAGGCTCGGGAGGGTCCGGCCAAGGCTCGGGTTCTCTCGAGCCGACCTACAGCGGCGGGTTCAATGAATCGGGTAAGCGTTACGTCAGTGGCAATTTGCTGTCTGATATGATCTCATTTCGGATCATGCAGGGATTTCTGAAAATGAGAAATGACGGCAGATCAGACTTTTCTGAAATCTGGGAAGGTGAAGATTCAGGAAGGGCGAGGAAGTCAGAATTGAACAAACAAAATAATGATGTCATTTTTTTGTGCTTTTCTTGCTATCCCTGAAAAACGAATTCACAGGAGGAAGAAGCGGCGAGTACGACGAATCGGGCGGAGGATACGGAGCACCCGTTGGCTCATCCTACGGCCAGTACCAGCAGTACCCTGCGCGCGGGGGAGCTCCGCAAGGGGGGGGCTGGGGCGGTGGCGGCGGAGGAATGAACGCGCCATACGGGGGAATGATGGGGGGAGGAGTGGCGCCGAGAGGCCAGTACGGCAGCAACGACTCGAGCCCGCAAGGCTCGGGACCCATGCAGCCCTCCTACCATCCCGCGTCCGGCGGCGGCGGATCCGGCAGCCTGCAGTCGCGATTCTCCATGGACGGCGGGAGCATGGACAGCTCTCCCGGCGGCGGAGGTCCCAAGGGCGGGAGTGATATCCAGCAAGCCGCGGCGCTGTCTGCGCTGGCGTGGTCGAAGCAGGCGGCGAACACGGCGGAGGGGCAGAAGCTCCAGTCGGACTACCTCGCGGAGTTCGACGCGTGGAAGCGCGCCAATCAGGCGGCGACGTTTCAGCAGCAGCAGGACTTCATGTCGGATCTGCAGTCGCGCATGAGCAAGGCGCGCGCGGCGCTCGCGGGGCTGCAGCTGGGGGAAGGCGGAGGGGCAGGAGGGGGAGGGTCGCCTGCGGGCGGTGGTGGAGGGGAGATGGGGGGTGATGGTGGCGGTGGGGGAGGGATGCAGCATGCGTACCCTGCGGCGATTCCTGCTCCTGTTCCGGCTGCTTCGGACGTTTCTTCTGTTGGCGGTGGTGGCGGCGTTGAGGTGAGGAACTTGAAATATGAGTCTAGGATGCTGCCTCTTCTCCTTTCTCCCTCCTCACCGCTCCTCCCCTCCCCACCAACCCCCCCGCTTTCCCACGCCCTCTCGGTTTCTCCTAGCACCCTTTCTCAGCTCCTTCATTCGATCTCTCGCCCCCTCTCCCTCCCACACACCCCACGTGCACACACACCACATACAATTGTCGTGTACCAGTTGGTTTTTCAACATTTCCCATACCCACAAGCCCGGATGGTTACGCCTTTACTTCAATCAAGGCATCCCCACGCCTTGTTTCCAGAATGATCTTCGTCGCGAGTTGGAGCTCATGAGGCAACTCGCTCTCCTTCCCCCCCCTCCCTCCCTTCCCCCCTCTCTCTCCCCTCCCCTTCCCCTTCCCCCCCGCTTTCCCCCATTCCTCCCGGAACCACCACCAGAACGACTTACGGCGCGAGCTGGAGCTGATGCGGCAGCGCGCGGCGGAGGCGGAGAAGGCGCGCCTGGAGGCGGAGCAGCGCGCGCAGCGCGCGCTCTCCGAAGCGGACCGCTCTCTTCGCGAGGTCGAGGCGCAGAACAAGCGGCGGGAGCTGGAAACGGCGGTGCGCATCGAGATGGCGTCGCAGGAGGCGGCGCGCGCCATGGCGGCGGCGGAGGAGGCGCGGAAGCAGGCGGAGCTGGAGGCGCAGAAGACGGAGGTGGCGATGAAGCAGGCGGCGATGACTCGCGCGGCGCTGGAGCTGGAGGAGAAGCGGCGGCAGGAGGCGGAGAAGAAGGCGAAATCGGAAAAGGGCAGCATGCGCATGATGGCTAACTACCGCGAATACTCTTATGATGACATTGTGGTGAGTGGATGGGTTGGGTGGGGGGGGGGGGGGGGGGGGGGTGAGGAATCACCAGAAACAGAGCGGCCGGAAAAGGGCAGCATGCGCATGATGGCGAATTACCGCGAGTATTTTTATGATGACATTGTGGTGAGTGGATGGGTTGGGGCGGGGGGGGGGTTGGGGGGGGATGGGAATCACCAGAAACAGCACGTCTGGAAAAGGGCAGCATGTGCTTGATGGCTAACTACCGCGAGTATTCTTATGACGACATTGTGGTGCGTAGAAGGGGCAATGAGCAGGAGGGTACATTGTGTATGTTGGAGGTTCGGGAGGTGGGTATGTGCTTGCACGCATGCGTATGATGGCTAATTACAGCAAGTATTCTTATGATGACATTGTGGTGAGTGGGGGGGGAATCATCAGAAACAGCACGGCTGTAGAATGTGGGTATGCGCATGACGGCCAACTATCGCGAGTACTCGTATGACGACATTGTGGTGAGTGGGAGGCGTGTGGGTGGGTGAATCGGTGTGTGTGTGGGTGAGTGAATGGTTGGATGGGTGGGTGGGTGGGTGGGTGGGTCCAACGCGACTCGAAGCGCAAATCTGTACCGTCCTGACCTCGTTTCCTTTCCCCCCATGGCGACCCTTGGCAGTTTGCAACGGAGAATTTCAAGCCGGATCGCAAGCTGGGCGAGGGCGGGTTCGGGACAGTGTTTTCCGGCACGCTGCACCACACGCCTGTCGCAGTGAAGGTGCTCAAGAACACGGACGCCATGCAGGCCGCTCACGAGTTCCAACAAGAGGTGAGAATGTGCACAGGGGTTTGGTGCGAGTCTAGTGAGGATTGGGGCAGAGAGTGAGGTCTGCAGGGGAGTGGAACGGTGTTCTCTGGCCCGCTGCGCTGCGCTGCACCACACCACACGCCCGTGGCGGTGAAGGTGCTCAAGAACACGGACGCCATGCAGGCCGCTCACGAGTTCCAACAAGAGGTGAGAATGTGCACAGGGGTTTGGTGCGAGTCTAGTGAGGATTGGGGCAGAGAGTGAGGTCTGCAGGGGAGTGGAACGGTGTTCTCTGGCCCGCTGCGCTGCGCTGCACCACACCACACGCCCGTGGCGGTGAAGGTGCTCAAGAACACGGACGCCATGCAGGCCGCTCACGAGTTCCAACAAGAGGTGAGAATGTGCACAGGGGTTTGGTGCGAGTCTAGTGAGGATTGGGGCAGAGAGTGAGGTCTGCAGGGGAGTGGAACGGTGTTCTCTGGCCCGCTGCGCTGCGCTGCACCACACCACACGCCCGTGGCGGTGAAGGTGCTCAAGAACACGGACGCCATGCAGGCCGCTCACGAGTTCCAACAAGAGGTGAGAATGTGCACAGGGGTTTGGTGCGAGTCTAGTGAGGATTGGGGCAGAGAGTGAGGTCTGCAGGGGAGTGGAACGGTGTTCTCTGGCCCGCTGCGCTGCGCTGCACCACACCACACGCCCGTGGCGGTGAAGGTGCTCAAGAACACGGACGCCATGCAGGCCGCTCACGAGTTCCAACAAGAGGTGAGAATGTGCACAGGGGTTTGGTGCGAGTCTAGTGAGGATTGGGGCAGAGAGTGAGGTCTGCAGGGGAGTGGAACGGTGTTCTCTGGCCCGCTGCGCTGCGCTGCACCACACCACACGCCCGTGGCGGTGAAGGTGCTCAAGAACACGGACGCCATGCAGGCCGCTCACGAGTTCCAACAAGAGGTGAGAATGTGCACAGGGGTTTGGTGCGAGTCTAGTGAGGATTGGGGCAGAGAGTGAGGTCTGCAGGGGAGTGGAACGGTGTTCTCTGGCCCGCTGCGCTGCGCTGCACCACACCACACGCCCGTGGCGGTGAAGGTGCTCAAGAACACGGACGCCATGCAGGCCGCTCACGAGTTCCAACAAGAGGTGCGCAGCAGATAGGGTTGGCGGCCGGGCCATGTGTGTCTTGGGCAGCGCTTGATGGTTGAGGGGCTGGGTCAGATCCAACACCCTCGTTTCTCTTCTCCCCCCATCACAGCCCCCCACCTTTCCTCTGTCCCCCTCCTTGCCTCTTCGTTTTCCTGTACCCCGCTCTCCCCTTTCCACCCATCCACCCCCCACGCGCCAACCAGGTGGAGGTGCTGAGTCGGATCCAGCACCCTCACATGGTATAACAACTTATAGTACTCGCTCACACAATTCTCGCCTCATTTTCCCTCCCACCCACCCCCGCCTTCCTTCCCACCCCCTCCCCATCAGGTGGAGGTGATGAGTCAGATTCAGCACCCCCACGTGGTGATGCTCCTCGGCTGCTGTCCCGACAGGTACTGCCTCGTCTACGAGTTCATGGCCAACGGCTCCCTCGAGGACCACCTGCTCTGCGCCAACAACACCCCTCATTCCTCACCCATCTCTTCCCCAACCACTTCCTCCCTTTCCCCTGCCCCTTTCCTCCCCTCCGCCTCCTCTCCGCCTTCTCTCCTCCTCTCCGCCTTCTCTCCTCCTCTCCGCCCGCTCCCGCTCCCTCAATTCCCCCTTCTCCCACAGGTCGAAGTGCTGAGTCAGATTCAGCACCCACACGTAGTGATGCTCCTCGGCTGCTGTCCCGACAGGTACTGCCTCGTCTACGAGTTCATGGCCAACGGCTCTCTAGAGGACCGCCTGCTCTGCGCCAACAACTCGCCGCCCCTCCCCTGGTACATCCGCATGCGCGTCGCCGCCGAAATCGCCTCAGCTCTCCTCATCCTCCACACCCGCCCCGTGCCCATCGTCCACCGCGACTTAAAGCCCGGCAACATTCTTCTCGATAAGAATTTCGTCGCGAAGCTCGGAGACGTCGGGCTGGCAAAGCTCATGCCGGGGCTCTCCATGGATCAAACCTACATGCGGGAATCCGTTCCGGTCGGCACCTTCGCGTACGTCGACCCGGAGTTCCAACGCACGGGCGAGTTCGGCCCGAAATCCGACGTGTACGCGCTCGGGATCGTGCTTCTCGATCTGCTGACCGGGCGCAAACCCAACGTGTACGAGGGGCTAGAAGAAGCAGTGGACGACGGGGACGAGGAGGCCATGAGGGAGTTTCTAGATGAACGCGCTGGGAACTGGCCGCTGGATATAGTCATGGAGGTGGCGAAAATTGCGGTGAAGTGTTCTGAGATGAGGAGGAAGAAGCGGCCGGATCTGGAGACGCATGTGATGCCCGTGCTGGATAGGGCGAGGGCGAGAGCGGTTCAGGCGGAGGAGGAGGCGAGGAAGACGCCGGCCAAGCGGTCGATTGGGGATGCGCCCAGCAGCCTGTTCTGCCCCATCACTCAGGCAAGCTTGGGTTTATTGTGGCCCCTTGTCCCCTTCTCTCTATGTATTTTGAGCCGATTTGGAGGCGCATGTGATGCCGGTGCTGGATAAGGCTAGAGCGAGGGCGGTGCAGGCGGAGGTGGAGGCGAGGCGGACCCGGGCGAAGCGGTGGATTGGTGATGCGCCCAGCAGCCTGCTCTGCCCCATCACCCAGGCAAGCTTGGGTTTCCTTGTGATTGTGTCATCCCTTCCCCTTTGTCTCCCTTCTCCACCCGTTCCGACCAGCCCCCCTCTTTCTTTCCCACTTCTCCGTTTCTCCCCCTCCCGTGAGCCTGTATTCGTGTGTTTGTGTTCTGTCCACCCTCTCGCCTGCTGCATCCCATTTTCTCCCTCGTACAGGAGAGATGGTGGTGAAAACCAGGTGCCGGCGGCGGACAAGCACACGTATTACCACACTTAACATTCCCTTTTCCGCCCTCTCACCCACTGCATCTCATATCCTCCAAACCCCACTTCCTTCCCCCTCACCCACGCACAGGAAATGATGGTGAACCCGGTGATGGCAGCGGACGGGCACAGGAAATGATGTTGAACCCGGTACAAGAAGCCTCCACTAGTACCTTGTCCACACTCTCACCCCCTCTTCCCCACCTTGGTACCCTCTTCCGCCCCCTCTCACCGCTCTCAACCGCACAGGAGATGATGGTGAACCCGGTGCTGGCTGCGGACGGGCACACGTACGAGAAGGAGGCGATAGAGTCGTGGCTGGAGAGCAGCGACCGCTCGCCCATGACCAACGAGCAGCTGCCCTCCAAGGACCTCGTGCCCAACCATGCCGTGCGCGCCATGATCAAGGACTGGCGGGAACGCAACCTATGAGCAGCTTATGAGCCACCTATGAGCAACCTATGAGCACGCATCATTGATTTTCGAGTCGACTCTCCGAGGTCAAGGATTGGTGGGATCGCAGCCTATGAGCACGCACTGTGCACTGTTCGATTTCATTGGGGAGGGGCAGGGCGGATGGTGTTGGTGGGTGGGTATAAGCATGATTGGGCCTTGTTGAAAGGTACTGCAAACTTTCTTTCATTCGGTCTCTCTCTCTCTCAAGGTTGGTAGTGGGAAGGGGTGAGGCAGGGTGAGTCACTGTGAGGCAGGGTTACCTTATGCTTCTCTTTTCGTTTTGAAGGACTCCTGCCTGCCGCTTGTTCTGCTTCGGTTTCGGCTACAAAGCCCGCTTCAGGCTTTCAATGCAGGCTCTCAATCAATACCCACCCTTTGCCAAATGATTTTTGCTACAGTGAAAGCATGATTGAGGCGTGGTTACTGTCAATCTTGAATGTTACAGGGGGAGGTGGTAGATAAGCATAGGTTCTGCAAGGAAACTTCTTATAGGTCTATGTCTAAGAAATAGGATGTCAGTGATGGCACGGACACGGCAATCTTAGTGTAGTGTGTCAATAATCTTATTTCCTCTGATGTTCAGCTTCCATATCAAAACGGCATCAGATTTCCTGGATTCATTACCGGTAGGTCACATAAATTATGACGCTGAAAAAGGCTGCTTCAAACCAGTGATTAGAGAGTGGAGGGAGGGTGGAAATCATTGCTGGGATGATAAGGTGGATGGTGCTGATTGATAAAATAGTGTTACGAATAGTAATGCCTGAACATCACAAGTGCACTCCTCACCGCAGCTAAGGAAACACGCAGTAACGAGAACGAATGCGAGGAGTCGGAATTGACTCGAAGCGTCAGACGGTTAGCGTGGATCTGGATCGTCGGAGCAAACGGCATCAAGCAGCTGCAGTCAGGAGGAATTGTGTGGGAACAGTTTTCGTAACTGTACGCGCCGCACGGATGGGAATGAATTTGAATAAGGGAATGTACCCCTTAGAGTACATGGCTAGCTAGGTCGATTCATATCCCCCTGTACTCTTATTTATATCGCTGTATTTGCATGTTTTAATTCATCTCAAGCATTTTACATTCACTCTGCTATTGAGGTCAAGGGCCCACCTAGTCTACCTATCTGCGTGCGAACATTCCTGAGAAGATCCTGGCAGCGATCATCCTCTGATCGCAGCATGGTATCAGAGCGACTCAGGAATTCTTTGTTAGAACCTAGCAGCAGGAACAGGCCCTCAGATTCACCTTTAGGGTCGTCAACCCATCAGGGCCCCCTGTGTGTAAACTCTGATTGACAGTGTTCCAAAAAAAAAAAAGCCTGAAATGTCAGTGTTGCGTCTGTAAAAAGCCTGATGCATCAGTGTATCACTAGTAAAAAGGCTGTCACTAACGCGTCGCATGTGATGGCAACGGGGCAGGACCCTTGGCAGCCCTCCAGCACCACATGGTGGCCACGTTCGGATTGGCCAAGACCGACTGCTGCAGCGAAACGGCCCAATGGTGTGAAGCGCCGCGCCAACAAAATACCTCTGAACGTGAACCAGATGCAGAATTTCACAGGTTGGCCTCGCCACGGGGTGCTTACACCTCGGGAATCTGAGATTCCCTGTAATTGCGGTCAAATCCACATGACACAGGTAAGAATCGCTTCAGTGTTGGTTTCGTTACAGCGTTGTGGCATCAGTGTCCTAGGGGAAAAAAGTCTGAAATTTCAGTGTGGCCTAACAAAAAAAGTCTGAAATTTCAGTCCCTCAAAAATCTCAACACTGACTTTTCAGGGTAGGTAAAAAAAGGACTGCGAAAATCAGGAATTTCAGGGGTTTTTTCCTGATATCTGAGGCCCTGCGCAGGAATGAAATAACTATGAAAGAGTTGGGTACAAGTATGAAACCCTAAAAGGGGTTGTACCTCATATTGGCTACCCCACTACAGCCTACATATGTATAACATGCATATACTTTGACACACCCCCATAGGCAAAGTAGGGGAGAGCAAGAGGTCACAAGACCAGTCAAGAGAAGCAAAGCAAGCTCAAGGTGGATCACAACGTCACCACACACACTGAGCACAAGCAAAGGGCCACAAGGCCAGTTCACATGCAGAGGTATATATGCAACAACAACAGCACAGTGATCTCTACCTAGCAGAGCAAGCATGCAGGTATATATATAGATCACAATACAAACAAAGTCTACAGCAAGTGAGGAAACGTGGGCACAAGGCCTAACAAAGTACAAAAACGCTGATGATCACCAGACGGAAGTGCCTTGGTGAATATATAAGCAGTGTTGGCCCGAGTGCCCACGTGAGCAAGACGAAGCTGACCACGCTGCTGCAACTCTCGAGCAAGGAAGTAACGCAAAGCGATGTGCTTCGTTCTGTGCTCCAGTCTGTGCTCCTGACACAAGGCAATGGCGGCCTTGTTGTCTACGTACAGAACTGGAGGAGAACGAGGCCGCTCTCCCAGGTCGGTCAGCAGGTAGGTGAGCCAACGTAGCTCCTGTGCAGCCATGGCTGTGGCGTAGATCTCAGCCTCACAACTGGAGCCGAGAACAGAGGACGACCGTGTAGACCGCCAAGAAACAGATCCAGAGCCAAGGCTGAAGGTGTAACCCTATGACGACCGCTGCGTAGCCAGGCCATCAACCCAAGAAGCGTCCGAGTGCCCAGTGAGGACAACGTCGCCCCGTCCTCCAAGCACGAGCCCCATGCCCGATGTACTGCACAAGTAGCGCAGTACCCTCTTAGCGGCATCCATGTGCACCTTTCGGTGCCTACCAGGAGCCACGTAGCGAGCCAGAAGGCCAAGAGGGTACGCAAGGTCAGGACGAGTGCAGGTCATCAGGTACATGAGGCAGCCCACTAGCTCTGGGTAAGGACCACTCGGCTCTACGGACTCGTCCGAAGGTGGAGCTGAGAGCGAGTGACCTGTAGCCAGAGGAGTGGCCTGTGCCGAGGACCAGGTGAAGCCGAAGCGCTGAAGGACCTGCTGCACCATGTGTGACTGAGTCAGTGTGATGGTGCGGCGTGCTCTGTCCCGGGTGATCTGCAAGCCAAGGTAACTGCGCAGCTCATCCAGGTCTGTGCACGTGTGTCTCTTCTGCAGCTCCGACTTCACCAGGGCGAGAGCCTCAGTGTCAGCTGTGGCAAAGACCAAGTCGTCGACGTAGACGAGGATGTAGAACGGCGGCAGCGAAGTGTCGGTGCGCAGAAACAGCGACGGGTCAGCAGTCGAAGGAGAAAACCCGAGAGCCGCAAGTGTCGTCCTCAGTGTGTCGTGCCACTCACGCGGCGCCTGGCGGAGACCGTAGACTGGCCGCCGGAGGCTCCACTGGGTACCAGGAGGGAACGACCCAGTGAAGCCAGGTGGGCGGCGCAGCCAGATCTCCTCGTGCAGGCTGCCCTGCAAGAAAGCTGTGCTGAAGTCAAGAGAGTGAAGCTCGTAGTCACGCTGAGCGGCAACGTGCAGCAACACCCGAAGAGTGGTCATCTTCGGGGTGGGGGAGAAGGTCTGGAAGAAGTCAACTCCCTCTCGCTGACCGAAACCTCGAGCAACGTAACGAGCCTTGAAGACAGGCGAAGAACCTGGCGGCCGCTTCACCCTGAAAATCCACATGCCACTGATGATGTTCGCCCCAGGAGGGGGAACCTCGTCGACGTACGTGCCAGTGGACTTCCAGGATGCCATCTCTGCGTCCATGGCTGTCTGCCACTGAGAGGAGTACTCACCCGGGATCGCCTCAGCGTAAGAGCGCGGGGTCGGGATGTCTGGAGCATCCGGGTCTCCCTCAGGGGCAAGCAGCATGGACACGAGATGAGGCGCAGCGGCTGCAAGACACTCAAGGTCCTCCTGCCTGTCCTCAAGGACGTCCGTGCCAAAAGCACACTCACCGCCGACGGACAGAGGACAGACAGACTCAGACTCAGCAACAAGACTAGCGGCGTAGTCTAGACGACAGGCAGCAGCAAAGTCAACAAGCTCAGCGACTAAGGCAGACGCAGCAGCAGACTCAAACGACGGGTCAGTGACAACTGTGGCTAGCAGACGCATGACAGTAGGGTGAGCAGCACGAGCGTGGTCAGACTCAGGCTCTGGAACGGTAGGCAGAGAAGACGCAGGAGGAGATGGCAGAGGAACACGCTGTGGAGGAGAGAAAGGACGACGGACTACGAGGTGGGTGCCGGGGACAACCGGCTGACGCGGACGAGGAACACTACGACCGGAACGACCAGAACGGACAGGCGAGACAGGACGTGACGCAGGCTCACGACGCTCAGTAAGACCCCCTGTCTGCTCAGTGTAAGGAGAAGGAGCAGGCAGCGGTGAGCCAAGCTGTAACGGAAGACCAGTAGACGAAGGGAGACTAAGAACCTGGCGAAGCACAGAGTCAGGCGGTGGCTGAGACGACGAAGGCGGTGGAGCAAAGAACAGGCGCGGCTGTGCAGTGCCACCAGCACCAGCAGCTCCAGTACCCCCAGCAGCACCAGCACCTCCAGCAGCTCCAGAACCCTCAGCGCCAGCTCCTCCAGGACCAGCTCCACCAGCAGCAGCACCCCCTGAACCGGCACCTCCAGTCCCAGGGTCTCCAGCCTCAGTGTCTCCTGCAGCAGCACCCCCATACCCAGGGTCTCCAGCAGTAGCACCCTCAGGCTCAGCACCTCCAGCCCCAGCAGCTCCAGTACCTCCAGTACGAGCACCTCCGGGACCAGCACCACTCCCAGCTCCAGTGACGTCAGCAGAAGTACCTCCAGCGGCAGAGCCCCGAGCTCCAGAAGCGCGACCCTGACGGCGACCGTACCAGTCGTGCAACTGCTGTGAGGTGAGAGGCACACGCGGACGAAGGCGGCTACTCCAAGGAGACCGTGCAACAGCAGACTCAGAACCCTCAGCGCCAGCACCTCCAGCAGCTCCAGAACCTCTAGCGCCAGCACCCGCAGCTGCTCCAGAACCTCCAGCTCCAGCGCCACTA